TTTATATAATTGGGAACCCTATGGAGAACCGAGTGAGGCTACGAGTACCGAATGCCATCCATGAGTGTCCGAGCTTCTCATGATTTAATTCTTAGGCACTCACATGGCATCCCCTGAAACCCACAGACGAGAAAAGCCCTACTGAGTACTTAGTACAACCTGCGCCTGTGGGGCTCCTCAAACAGTGGAAAAACAAGCTGAACCCGACAATTTTAAACCCAAGCCCCAAGGCCTAAACCTGCAGGCCCGCAGGCCTCATAACCCCAAAACATAAATCCCTAACCAACTCCCTGAGTCAAGCCCCCTAAAACCTGAACCCCAAACCTCACCGAGCCGAGCCCCCCGCTCCCTCGGCACAGCGAGGGAAAGCCACAAAGCGAACAGCTTGAGAGCCACCAGCGAAATCACGGTCCTACTATGGGGGTAGGAATTAGGAATTAGGGTGTATGTAGGGTTCTCACCGTCTATAGGGAGGGTAGGAATTAGGGTGTAGGGTTCTGGGTTTAGGGCTTGATACGGCATTATCAGCGAGACAGCAACTGAAACAACCACAGTGTATATGCAACCAGTAGGGTTTGGGACTTAGAGTTAGGGTAAACTGACATCAAGTTCAGATGTCAATGCATTTACACATAGCACGCATGTCTGAACGAATGTTTGCTATCGACCCAAGCCATAAAGCATGGAATACGGTACACATTCATGTGTATGGGTATATAGATGCACATTCACACCGTTCCATCGACGTTTTGTTTTGTTGTTGCATTACGTATATAATTTCTTATTCGTACATATATATGTATATGTATATATGTACAAGTTCATAACGGCATAAAACCTAAGACAGATACAACAAGAGCTCCCGAGATTCGGCTGAAACATCGCAAGAAGCTCTTATATTTGAGCTTCAGATTCTCGCTGCCTCAAAGATCCTCTGTAATTGGGCCTCCTTGCATGGGGGCGCCTCGTCCCTACTTAGTGCTCTTTCGAAATCACATGATCTATGTTAGTGCCGAGGCTGCTCATTGAGATTCGTGGTTCGGGCATATGTAGGAGTTTCGGCTTACTCCTCGGGGGCGTGTTTAGGATTTGAGGGTTATGACTCACTCTGGATTGCACATGACACTGCTCACCCATAAAAACCCACAGCGGGGCAATGCAACCATGACGAGTGGGAATCTGGTTTCTCACGATCCCCATGTTTAAAACGGAAACGTTATGCTCAAAACCCTACTCGCTAACTCCCTACAGAGGACGTGAGTCATAAGTGGCTGGTGCAGCGAACTACACTCGGAAAGCTACAAGCCCTTGGAAATCCTAGTAAGCATTCAGAAACAACGAAGGGAACATAAGACCCCACGGTCAGCTCAGCTCTTTCTGATGAATGCCCAGTGCGGCTGCAAACAGCGAGGCAGCTCAGTTCTGCGGCCATGAAAACTAAAGCTTTGGGTTTATAAAAAATTTGGCTTCTTTATGAGAGTTTGTGAAGGCTTGATAACGTGACTATGAAGCTATTTTGGGCCTTGTGCAAATTCTGTCAGTGGATGCTAGGAGGGCTGTAAATTGATTTTGAAGGGAAATGGCTTAAGATTAGGGCTCTACGAGGGTCAGGTTGTTAGGGGTTAAGGGGTCCATAATATGGGTTCTATAGTTACAAGAGCTCTCAGGGTTCTACACAGTTTCTGGAGTGGGTTCTGTTAAGCCGCCTGTAAAATATTTGTCCAGGTTTTTTTTCTTGTTTTTTGCTTCGGAAATTCGGGTCCAGGGATTCAAAGTTTGTCTTCACGCGCGATTTGGGGGGTTGAGGGCTGTTGGCAAAAAGATTGAGGCATTCTGGCTTTAAGGCGCAGGGCTGAAGACGACAGGGTTAGGGTCCGGGGGATCACTGCTTGAACCCAAAGAGCCCGTGCGCTTCACCCCAAAAGGGCTAGTGCCCTGCAACGATCCTACCCTGCTGGGGGTTTCAAGACTTTTGGATTTGCGGGGTGTAGAGTATCAACCGTGAACTTCAAGATGGATGCTTGGAAAGGCAGAAAATCTCGACTTGATACCTTATAGCATAAATGCCGATAATCGAAAACAAAAAGCTCTACGCAGTATATTCTTGATATCTCCCCAATACCCCAATCTAATAATCAGGGATCCTTTGTTGAGCCCCCATGGCCTAGACCGGTCTGCCTCGGCAGCATGCTCGAGCTAGAGCCCCACTGGAGGCACGCGTTAAAAGTTCGTGCCACGGGGCTTGCTGAGAGGATCAGGGGACTTAGGGTTAATGGCTTAGCAAGTGAGTTTGGGCGGTCGGACATATTGTGATGTTGTATTTATAACCAACCGAAATATCTGCACTTCACCCAAGTCAAAGCCAATACTCGACCGGATCCTCCCAGCAACTGCCGTTGCGTAGGTGGCTGAGCCGATCGGTTCATGGCATCTTAACTTCGGCAAGTGGCTAAAATCAGCTGAACATCAATGCTTCCGCATCGGCCAGCGATGCAGCCTTGCCAAACCCAACCCTTCAATGCTGCTGATCCCACCTCTCCACCTCTCCATTCAAGAGCCCGACACAATTTGGTGTAGTCTAGACCCCTTTTTACGTGCTCTCATCACTACTTCGCCGGATTCGAGCTCTCTTAGAATTCCACGTGGCTCATGCACTATTAGGTTCCGGCTTTGCGAACAAAACGTTTTTGAAGTGTTTTCGGGAGTGTACCATTTCCGGAACTAGTCCCAGTGCTTCCACAGCCCTTTGGGCATTTGCTTCACATCAAGCCGTGCAGTGCGCCAACAAACCCTTTGACTTTCCTTTGGACCCCAGAAAGTATAGTAGTAGTAGTCGTCGTAGTAGTAGTAGTAGTGGTAATTAGTGGTAGTGGTAGTGGTACTGGTAGTGGTCGTCGTCGTAGTAGTAGTAATAGTAACATAAATAGAAACAACACAAGTAATAGCAATAGTAACAGTTGATAGTTCATAGCAAATAGCAAAAGAGAAAGTAATAGTAGTGGTGATAGTAATAGCATTGGTAGCAGTAACAATGACATAACAATAGTCACTAGTCAATAGTAATAGCACAGGAGTAATAGTACCAGTAGTGCGAAATCGTAATAGTAGAAAGTAGAACTACTAGTAATAATTACGGTACGAGTAGTAACAGCAATCGGAATATAACAATAACAGTCAAAATAGTGACAGGAACAAAGTCATCGCAGTTGCTGTAGACATGTATCCAGTCGCCTGTCGTCTGGGAGTGAAGACACCCACTGCTGTGTTAAAAGCTTCTTACACCTGCACTTAGCGGCTTTGAGGATTCATGTTCCGGAGTTTATCTGGGACAGCCATCTGCGCAACGACGGGAAAATTGCCATTCTTTGCATGGAAGCCGCAGAGATTAGGTGCCCACACCCAACAGGCATCGAAAGTCGAAACATCGAAAGCCCGTAGTAGCGGAGCTATCGCAAGCCCTTGCTGAAGAGTCCGGTCAATCCAACCATGACTGAAACCCGAAAGCGCCGACAGCGGGCTCTCAGTCCCCTGCTACGATGTCTTTGCCAGAAATGGCATAGCAGCAGTACTCGCCGATCACAAATTATAACGACAGAAACTCGGCAATCCGGCAGATAGCTGGTCTAGGTGTTTAGGGTTCACAGCCAAAGCCCTGAAGAAGCAAACCGCACACCCGAAATCCTCCACACTGGAACCCTGGTTGTCGCTGAAGACACCAGTGCCCCGACACCAAACAGCGCAGATCCTCTGGGACCCGATAAAGGGAACTATACTACAAGATGCAAAATGGCGTGCCTGGTTTAATCATACCCACATCTTTACCGCCACTCTTCTGCTTCTTAAGGCCGCTATGTCAGCGCAATTTCAAGCCATGCAAGATGCTCACCCACAAACCGAAGCCCCAAACCCTGAACAGTAAACCCCACATCCCAAGGCTGTCGAGCAACCTTAAACTCTGCATCCCTTGGCTTCTTAAACCCCGCCATGTCAGCCCCATCAAGCAACCCAAGGCTGCAACCCTAAACCCTACATTAACCCCAAGTAACCTACCCTTTTAAGGACTTATATAAAGAAATCATATTAGGGAGCACTAAAAAGGTGGGTTCCTTAGGGTCCAGGTTTTTTTGAAAACGACATCGGGCCACCCAAAACTCTGCATACCTTGGCAATCCCACGGGCTCTTCCACGACGAACAGCTCGGCCTCGAGGTCTCGAGCGCAGGAAGGACGGAGTGGGGTTCGTAAGGGCTGATAAGGGGGTTTGCGAAAATAGGGGACCCTAATGTTAGTATCCTATTTTGAAGGATCCTTGTTATTATAAGGACCCCCAAGTAAGGTACCCCATTACTCCTAATTTTCGGAAGCTCCCATAAGGGTTTTCGAAGATTGATCCGCTTGATGAGGGTTGGTTGACTGGTTTAGGAGGGTTTACACGGCTTAGAAGGTCGGTGGATTTAGGTTTGAGGCTTTCGGGTTTCTGACGCATCGCACAAGGCTTAGGCCTAGCCTTCTCACAAGGCTTCGGTTTCGGATTTCGGAGTTCAGAAAGTAGGGCTCGGCTTAGCGTTTAGGGCTCACGGTCTGATGGGGTCTGCTCTTTGAAGCTTCATAACTGGCACTTGAAGCGCAGTATTCCCACACTCTGCAGCTCTGGTACCCTTCTACGAAAAACGTTCCTAACCTGGCGAGGCAATTACAACAGTTTTGGAGGGTAGCTGTTGCCGAATATTCACATCTAGTTAGGTGGAGATGGTTGGAAGTAGGGTTGCCTCGACGATTGAAGCTTCTCCATTGTGCCTGAACCCAGGTAGCGGGGTGGTACGGCTCGCAACTACGCGGAAATCGTCCAAAGTGCCCTGTCAAATCGCGGGCGTCATGCACAGAGACAACAATTACGTAGGCTTTGCACCACTATTCCTGATCCTGCTTGAACTGTGGTCTACAGCTCTGTTTTTGGAGCAGAGGAGTCTTTTGGTGCAAATGCGAGAATCTCCCAGGCCTCTAAGATAGACCCACCACCCGTGGCGGGTGCTGGCTGAAATCCAAATCCTTGGTTTAGGGCTCAGGGCATCGCGCTCAAGATCTTCAATTTCACATAATATACGGACCTTAATATATAGAATAGGGGATTGGGGCACATTATAATTCCTATGAAAGGAACCCCACAACTAAGTCTTGAATTTTGCATACGCCGATGGAGGGCATGGGTTTTGAGGCGCTCAGGATGTCATGCAACAGCGCTCTTGAACCGCGCGCACTCTGAGCGCCTGAACAGATGCAGTCTATTTCTTCCATGGAATGTTACCCCGAACATGAAACTGATCCTTTTCAGAATTAGCGATTTGGTGTGAACATGTTCAGCGTCAAGCGATGGCTGATTTGGGTCATGTGCGCTGAACGGCGTGCGGGGAAAGGCCTAAACGCCAAATCTGAAGAACCCAAACCTCTGCACCTTAACCCCTAAACCCTGATACCCTGAGCCTTTAAAGCTTAACTACCCAAGCACAAGACCCGAAAGCCAGGTCTGCAGCTCTGGCAAGGCTTTGCACCCGAATGGGCTTTTGGAACCCCTCAAGGGTACCATAATAGGGTTCCTTTAAGATCCTTTAAGGGTTCAAGTCCGGGTCCTGACATCGAGCCCTAGAACCCAGAACCTCGCACCCGGACCATGAAGGCATGGAGAGCCTGGGCTTTGGGACTTTAGGGTTCAGGCCTTAGGAGTTTTGGAGTTTAGGGTTCGGGGGCAGGCTCAAGAGCATCCCGGTACTTCAACAGCCTGGATTTCTGCGGCTGTACGTCTCACCGCAGTGCAGCACACTGAAGGCGTCGAGTTTATGCTTGGAGCGCTGGTGGATGTGGGGGCCTTACCCGCATTCTCATCAAACCGTCCCTAAACCCTAAACCCCCGAACTTTTAAACCAGTCGAGGCTGCGATTTTGTAGTATGCCGGCTTGATGGGCAAGCCAGGCATGAAGGTGATGTCCTCGAGCTACTAGACGGCTTATGCTTTTGATGGCTGCAATTTCATTTCATGTAAGGACGGTCATAGTTAGAATAGGGCTTTGGGGCAGCATGTCGGGCAGTCAAAAGCAATAGCTTTGCGATGCAGTTTAGTGTTTAAGGGCTTTGAACTTCAGGTTTAATCCAGAGGCCTACACTCTTCGACTAGGCCGCTAGGGCCTAGGGTTTCATACCTAAATCTTATACATATATATATGTATATATGTATATATACATATATATACACATACAGAAAACGTCGCACTGCAGGCCCGAGTTTTGAAGCTTGCTGATTTTCACACTATAGGCTAGGATTTGCAAGAGTCTTACATCTACTTCCAATGTCTACATGATACGACACAGTTTACAAGAATTCAAACGAACCCCATGCTGCACATGCTGAAACCAGTAGTATACAAACAGTGTGCAGAGCTGAAAGCTCCGGCGGAAATACAACGCGCACATAGTGCCTACGGCAAGATGGGAGTTTCCGAAAACAGGGGACCCTAGTATAGTACCCTAAAAAGTAGGATCCTTAATATAAGGGCCCCGCAATAAGGTACCCCTAGTTTTCGGAAACTCCCATATGGTGCCTGCTGTAGTAGAAAGCCTCGGCCATAAGGCTGAAGGGTCTGGGTCCCAGAGAAAGGGCGGGAGGGTGTGCAATCAAGCTATTCCAGAAAATCGTGCAAGTATACGTATCTATAGAATATAGAACCGACTCATTTACTCGAAAAACACCGGCCTGTATTCCGACGATCTTTTTTTAATGTCTCTCTCTCTCTCTCTCTATATATATATATATATATATGCATTTATACACGGGAACACAATCGTATATTCTTGTATAGTTATTTATGTTCGGTTGTGTTAGGAAGCCAAGAAGCACCAAGCGAAACCACGATAAAGCCGGCCCCAGCACTCACATACCTGGGAGACGGAGACTACCACGGTCCGGAGTTCCCTGTTGGTGAAACACGAAAGTCACGATGCTGGGTCTAGGCAGGCAGCCAGGTAAGCCCGAAACTTACACCCGAGCTTTCTAGACCTTGCATCGAAGCGAAGTCGGTATGTTCAGCTGCGTAACTTGTGGTATGGCTGCAGGACGGCTTCGTGCATTCTGGTGACTGTATACTGATGCTGCTAAACACTGCATGCACCAAAACCGACAAACCGCCAGCTGACGGTCTGCGAGAAAGTGATGCAGTTCCTTCTGCTGACAATGCAAGTCAGGAGGGTGATACAAACACATTCCTTCATTACCTGTATGTAGAAGCGGGCGTGACTGCCAGGAGGGTTCATCGAGATCTTCTCTGAGCAATCAAATAAACGAAAGGCTGACAGGAACCGTTGCCCGGCAATCCTGCCCAACCCTTACGACATACTCTGGCACACAAACTCGACAAGCAGCTGTGAAGACTCATGCAAGCGTCAACGAAACAATTCAGCAAAGGATATCATGCTGTCAAAACGCAGCGTGGCTGAATAATTAACCAACCCAATAGCCACTACCCCGCACTATCTGCTGTCCTGGAACAGACAGGGGAAATGAAACATCAATATCCCCACTGTCAGGCATCTTATCGATAATTGCTGTCCCTGCATAAATCCTGAAGCATAGAACATCCACGCCTGCAAGAATCTAAAGCTGCCCAGGCATCCAACACCCTAAACCCAGGCATCGAGTGCTTAAGGGAACTTCCCCGCTCAGACGGAAGGCTCATCCTGAAGAGCTCGAGTTGAAACCGCAAAGCATCAACATTTCCCACTTGCCAAGTCGCATGTCTTGCACTGTGATCGTGAATCCTTTAGGGGCGCCTGAAGCCGTCACGATTTGTTCATAGGCGTAGGGCTGCAGGGTTGTCGGTGTAGGGACGACGGGGAAGGGTTTGCTGAAGCCTTGACATCAAAGCCTCACGGCCTGACACCCAAATCTCATCCAAGCAGCAATAAACAACAGTCCGCGATGGCCCCGAACTAACCTGAAACTTCATCCTGAAAACCCCTTTAAAGCCCCTGATCCCTAAAGTCCCTAGACTCGGAAGCCCAATCCTTCCAAACCCAAATCTCGAAAACCTGCAAGAGGCTTATGTTTGACAGAAAACAATAACCCCAAGCCCCTAAACCCCGAACCTTACTCGTTAGAAACAGCATCCGGGAACCAAATGTCTTTTCGCACTGCCCCCCGCCCTTAAACAAAACCTTTTCTACGAAACGCTAAACCCGTATAGAACCCTTCGAGAAAATCTTCATCATAGAGCCCCACTCAACCCCTAAACCCCAAAATCCCGAACCAAACTCGCAAGCCTACACCCCAAAACCCCAAGCCCTAACCCCCCCGCCCCCCCCCCAAAAAAATATCACATCTTTCAAGCTCTCGCCTAACTTCTTCGGATCGTCCTCGGCTTTTTGATGCGCAATCATGTGTCTACGTGAATTGCTCGCTCTCATTCTTCGCAGAGGTTCGGGGCTCGTTATACGGGTTTCTAAAAGGATCTTAATTGACTAAGGCTTATATCCTTAGCGCCTTAGCTGCGACTTTTGCTGTTTCGGGCATTCGGGGCGCTTTAGGGCTTTGGGGTCCTGGGCCCCGAACCCCTCAACTCAAAGAGCCGCTCACCCGAACGTGATTTGATATTCTGGGACTCAAGGCTGCTTTGCTGTATTGTATAAGGAGGAATTTGAGGCTCTCTGAATCTCCGTGGGCTCTAAAACCTCTAAATGTTATGTGGTTCTGTAAGCCTTGAAGGCTGTGTGGCTTCGGCATTTTCGGGTTTAAGGCACCGATAACCGCGAGGTTCAAGGGTTCTATATGGCGCTTGGGATTTCCAGCCCAGGGCACCTAAACCCGTGATGTTGCAGGGTGTTGGCGTGTTTGGGTTTTAGGGCTCCGAGTTTCAGGAACGTAAAACCACGAGGTTACAGGGTTCTGTACATAGCTTCGGTACTTGTGGTTTTTAACATTGCGGGTTTAGTGCACCTGAAACTCGCCTACGGAAAGGGTAGCCTGAGAGGAAATTCGATCAACAGCCTTCATTTCGTGAGGGGGTCGCCTCAAGGTGTGTGATCAAAAACCATCGCTGAATCGCGGGCCGGTGTCACAAGTAGTGTGATCAACCGCCATTGTCGTCCAATGAGCGGCCGGGTTTAAGAACTTGGTTCAGCCACCATCGCCTAATTACCGAGGGCACGGTATTAAGCACAAAAGCCAGTCACCATCGCCTGATGAGGAGTTGGGTTTTGAAAAGTTGATCAACCGCCATCGCCTAGTGAACGGCAGGTTTACGGAGCAAGATCAACCACCGTCGCCCGACGAGGGGGCTGGTTCAAGAAATGATCAACATCGCCTAACAGGGAGGTGGATTTGGGAAACGTGCGCAATGAGCAACCGCCATCGCTCGATGGTAGGTGGGGGCAGCCTGACAAAGCTTCATGTGAGTACCTGCCATCGCCATTTAGAACAGGATCAGCTATGTTGAGAATATGACCAATCGCCTTGCAAGTTTGGGCTCGCGTGTGAGGTTGGTCATCGATCGAAAGTTGCGCGGGGTCTGGAGCGTGCAGGAAACGACAAATAGCGCTTCGCAGTTCAGGTGCGTGTTAGCCGACAGGCTGAGCTCCACACCGCACGCTGCCGCCAGAGCAGCCACGGTGGTGCAGCTCCCCTTCGAAATTTGGCTTCCTAAAGGACTGGCTTGGGCAGAAAATTAAAAGCCACGGTCCCACTCACCTTCCAACATGCTCTGCAACCTAGATCGAACAATCCAAGTGCAGACACATGTGCTCTGTAGCCGACCGGCAAAGCTTCCCCGGCTGCCACAGGCCGCACAGCTTGATCGACTACTGTTGCTTCAAAACTTTCCTGGGTTTGTTGTGCGTGCGAGCTGTTCTTCGGAAGATTGCATCGGGCCCATACTGTGCAGGATGAGTCATTGCAGATGAACTGCATGATGTGTCCGGGCCGATCGTAACGGCTGAAAGGGATTGCCGCTCTCGCATGGATCTGCGGTTGGCTGGCGATTGTAGACCACAGTGACACGCCGGAACTGTCAATGCCAACTTGCAAATGAGTTGCACTCATCGCGACTCTTCGCTTGGAACCCTACGTCATGCATCCTGCAGCTCATGCCATTTGTGAAAATGCAGGCGCAACTTATCACGGACAAAATCATCACTCAGTCAGATCCGAGCCCAAGGCTTCAATTGAGGATGAATCCGCGCAGTGTGGCACCATGCAACACATGTATGAAAATCTATGCACATCCGCACACCTAGAAGGAGCAGTGTAGCTGCCGCCTGTTTTGAGTCCCACGACCTTAACATCTACGACATCCACGAAACCATGCACGAGGAAGTCGTAACCCAATGCGACGCGCCCTCGGTGGTGGCAGTTCGTAGTCCGAAGCTCCCACACTTTGCGGCCGGATTCGTCTCAGCATCGATTAAAGGGGTCTAGGTCTGCAGCTGAAGAACCTGCTCTTTGACCCCAGCCCAATCCACACCAGACCTGGCCGCTACAGAGGAGATCAAACTAACAAGACCCCCCGTTCAGCGCAGCTGCAACGGGAAAGCCGGTGGCGGCGTGCTGAGTTCCCCACACTCTTATGATGTAGACGCGGCCTCAGTGCCGACGCGATGGCATCGAAGCACATTTCTGAGGATCTGGCGGGAGGCGAACATTGGCATTGGTAAACAGGGAATGAATGTTGGGATCGTTTGAACTTTTTAAAGAGCTGCTTTTCAAGGAGATCAACTTAATAAGACCCCCCATCGCAGCTGCAACGGCAACGCCTGTCGCGGCGCGCTGAGTTCAACACCGTCCCCACACACGACGGTCGGCCTGCAAAGCAACACGAACTAATGCAACATGTGGACTGAGAGTCTGGCAAAGCATGTACATGGCGCAAAAGTCAAAAGCGGGCTTTGAGTTGAGCCAATCGAGCTAACAGAAAACCAAGAAGCAGCAAGCAAACGCAGCCGTGGCGTGGCAGGAAGAATGCAGCGGCAGAAGTTGCATCTCGCCGACAGTGCTCCTTCGCATCTTCATGAGAGCACCTTCAGCAGTGCTTACTATTGCTAAATGCCCGTCCAACAAATCGAAAGCCAAGCCTCTTGGGCTCAAAGGCTTGGGCCGCCTTCGGGGTGTGAGAGGATTTTGGGGCTTTAAAGTTCACGGTGTTTTACAGGGGTTTAGGTGTCGAGTTTAGGGTTTTGGGCTTCAAGGTCTGGGATTGGGTGGGAACACCCGCACTCGTAAGCCAATGCGGCAGGCATCCCAGCTTCTGCGCTGCCCGGGAGTGCGTCGCTTGAGATGCTTGCTGAGGGTCTATGGGGATTCCAAGATCAATGCTGCATGGCCACTGCCTGCCAAAATTCCCGGCACGGGGGGGGGGGGGGGGGGGGCCGGGATCTGGAGCTCCGGAGGCCCCGACCCTCCCGTCGCGGATTGAAAATAAATCGGTTCTTCGACTTACAGGACCCCCCAATACCCTCTAATACAGCCCTTATGGCCCTTAATAGAGGATATTTGGGATATAGTAGAGGGTAGTTGGGGGGTCTAGGTTACATGCATCATTTAATTTTGGGGCCGGTGATTCAACGGCTTCGAGGATTTAAATCCGGAGGCCTTCCCCGCACATTTTTTTTTTTAAGCTATTGAATTCCCTGCCCCCACCGGCCGCAAGCCAGTCTCGGGCTGAGGACGCCAAACCCAAGGCTAGAGCGTTCTGCGGGTCCTAAACTTGAGCTAAAGTTCAGTGTTTAAGGTACATTGTCTAGGGTTTAGGGTTCAGGATTTAAGTTTTTTTTAATGTGCAGTAGCCCCTGATCCGCAGGCGAAGCCAGCAAAACAGAGAAGCTTGCTCAGTAACGAGCGTACACAAAACAGAGCAACCCTCAGTACTCACTCCGGCGAATCGTCCCTGCTGCGACTGCGGTCTCGTACATCATGAGATTTAAGGTTTAGGGGTTGAGGGTTTGGGCTTTGGGTTACCCCCAAACCTCAATTCAAAATCCGAGTTGCCGACAGGGAGTACTGAGTCTTGGACATACAGATCGGCAGGCCTGGGCCCGTGGCTGTCGATTTAACTAAAGTGTATTTCCCTAAACAACGCCCCCTTCTAGGATCCTTTCTTGAAATAGCGAGCGCCGTTCTATTACCGAAAAACGGACCCTAATTTAGAGGACTACCCAGTTGGAAGCAGGAATAAGTCGACTACCCGTGGCCCCAAACTCTAGGATCTAGTATACCGTCGACAACCCCATAGTCAGATAGTATAACGGTATAACTGCTAGAACTCTCAAACAGTAGAAAATACGCAGACTGTTCACGTCACCACATCAAGACATAGAGCCGATTCAGTGACTGTGGCGACTGTTAAATAACCGTAAACACCTACGCCCTAATTCCTCCCTTGAAGGCAACTCTGGAGATGACTCGGGGTAGGAGGGGTCTTCGTCCTAAAGGGCTTCTAGAGGTGTCTGTTTGGGGATGATCATGGCTTTACAAGAGCCTTTACGGGGGCTGTTTACGGCTTGTTGTAAGCTCCGTAAAGTCTCGAAGGATCTTTACAAAGTTCTTGCTAGCTTCTTCCTCGAAGGGTCCAAAGGACCCAATAATTAGGTACTCGGTTGTAGGATAGTAGTTTTGTAGGTTAAGATTTTGGAGAGTCTATGATTATTAGGTACTTGAACCCTTGGGGCTCTGCCTTTCTTTGAGACCCCTTTTGCCAGGTGGCATCGGATTGCCGGGTCGGACTCGTACTTGGCCAGGACGGCTTCCGCCTTGGCCTCGAGTGTTTTTCGGAATGAGGGCGTTCTGCTTTGCTCGGTTTTGTTTGTTTTTAAAGTGATCTTTTTCGGGTTTAGGAAATTACTTTGATAACGCGTTATGGCGCTCTTTTTCAGATGTCTGAATGCGAGCGTTCCGCTTTGCTTGTTAAGGCTTTAGGTAGATGCTACGGGGGTCTGAGCGGGTTCGGGGTTAAAGTTTTTTTTATGGGGCTTTCTAGGGGGCTGCATTGGGCGTTTCGACAAGGATTCATAAGGCACTCTAGGGGTTTAGGGGGGCTTCAGTCCAGAGGTCTTAGAGGGTGTCATGCGGGGGTCTCATGTCATTTCAGAACTTTCATACAGGATGCTATAAGCTTTTCTTTCCGGGTGTGCTTTCAGGCTGCCTGTGAAATCCCCGGAACGCTGGACCAGGGGCCCGCAACAGTTCTGACAGATCTTTCCAAGCGGCCGAATACTTCACATCAGCTCCGCCGTAGACATCCTCACGACACATGAAGATACATCACGCACAAGTCTGCTGGGTACCAAAACCCGTCGTCCTCACGAGTTGTATATTCTGTACCGAATGACGCATATCCCCAATGACGTTCTTGTTCAGAAACTTCAATCCTGTGCTTTCTTGCAACCACATAGGAACCGGAACACTACAGTGCTTGTCGGGCTCCTGTACCCAACTCGAAAGCGTCACAAAGCGTAAATGATACTAGCGGTATCTAGCAAAAAAAGCAATGCAACACCAGTATTGCCAGGTGCACCATCAGCAAACGAGTTTAGAAATAACTGGCTGTACGCCATGATACCAGCTCTAGCAATCGAACTTGTCTGTCTAAGAGCCAACGCAACGGCTGCAAAACCCTATGCACAAAGCAACTAAAATGAACACTTTGGCTCTAGAGGACCCCCCCCAAAACGGGTACTCAAAGTCTGGCAAGTGGACGGCTTTAGGGTTTGGTGGTGTAGGTGTTTGAGGGTTTGGGGGTTTAAGGCTTCGGGGTGTTGCGGGTTGAGGGTCTCAGGCTCAGAGTGCAGGGCATGCGGGCTGGCCGTAAAATGTAGGGGCCTTCATAGATTAGAATAAGGTTTTGGGACCCATTATACTATAATTATAATGACACCTCCAGAATAGAATAGGCACTGATTAAGGCCCCCATATTGCCAAGAAAGGAGTGCAAAGGAGGTTGGCTGTGGGGTTTGTGGCTTTAAGAAAGATCTTGCAAGGGGCCTGAGGTTTAGGGATATGCTTGGAGGATCATCGATCATCACGGAACTTCATAGGTATTGTGGATCCGAATTGTCACTAAGTGGGGCTACTGCACGCTTTATCGCCCTACCCATATGTTGTGCCAAAAATGTTTTTGCGCCTTTTCATAAATATCGACAGGGAGTCCTGCACGACTTTCAAGATCTTGGTCTTGATGGAGTCTTTCCTGATCTATAGCCAAGCATACCCTAAACCCTAAACCCTATACCCCTGTGTTCGGCCAATGTCTGCAATTAATCCGCAAACCCGAGGACAGACACGCTCAGAGTCTCCGAAACCCGATCTTGAACCTTCAGCGATGAATTCGAGGTGTTTGTAGAATCCCCAAACAAGGTAAGACGCAGCTGCACAGCCTACAAGGAGCATGCTCTTGTGAACCTATTGGATCGCCCGGATAAGCACCAGAGAGGACCGAACCTTGCAAAGATGCATCCCCTCAACTAAACATCCCAGAACGGTCTCCAAAATATAATATATGGGCCAGAAAAACTAGAATGGGATTCTGGAGTATGATATGCAATGACAAATACATGCATGGGTGGCTGTCAATATTAGGGTCCCTTGTTGGGTCCTTATTATATATACGGCACCTCGTATTTAGGGTACCCAAAAAGGACCATAATTTTGACAACGACCCAGAAGGGAGTTCGATGACGAACTGTTCCGACCCCTATTTCAAGCTCAAAACCAGATGCCCCGCATCGTAGAGGAACTTGAACTCCGATGGTCCCGATTTGCCTCAGCTGTAGCTATTCGTGTAATATCTTGCTACCGTATCATGTTATGCTCTAGTATACTGCCTATGCTATATCCTAACCCTAAACCCGAGTATGTTGTATCATGTTATGGTGTAGTGTTGTATGTATGGAGCAGCGCCGGGCAGCTAGCAGGCTTTGGGCTTTCGGCGAACACCTGTTCTAGGGTTTAGGGTTTAGGGCTGGGAGGGTTGGGGTAATGTAGGGGTCTTAGTAATTAGAATAGGGCTTGGGGGGTATACCATACTGTGCTTATAACAAGGACCCCCCTCAAACAAACCACTATTCTAATTATTAAGGCCCCTACACTACAAGTAGAGCTAACAGTAAGGCACCCCACGGACTGGTTTGGGTATTCATTCAGCTCCCCCAAGTATGTAAGACTTAATTGAGGAACCCGAAGGAATAGCATTGCTGATAGTTCTAGTTATCGAGGTTTCTATACTATTAGTGTGTGATGTATACTGGCAGAACCCCACCGTCTTGAATCGATCCACACGCTTTGCAGGGCTTCAGCACTGAACATTCCGAGGCAGAAGTCAGACGCGAATTACTATGATGGCTTTTCTGGCAAAGGCGACATACATATCGCAAGGGAACTTTGCTGCAACCTGGCCCAAACGATCTTATAGGGGCCTTAATAATTAGAATAGGGTTTTGGGGCCCTTTATACCAGAATTACAATAAGGAACCATACAAAAATAGTATGGGTCGTTACACATTAGTATGGGTCGTTACACAAAGGCCTCTACAGTAAATCCTTATAATAGCCCTTCAAAGCAGCCCTTTTAGACCCCTTTAAACGAACCCTATATTCAATAGCATAGGTAATTCTACAAAGGCCCCAAACGATGTTCTGCCGCAGAGATGCAGGCAGACATCACGGCCTCTCCCAAGGCCGTCGCCCCAGCTCCTCCCTTGGCGTGGTGTTCCTGAGTGCGACAGCGGGGCCTTAACTTGAATTGAACAGAGTGTTGGGGAATATTGTACTTTGGAAGTATACTAAGGAGCCCTCATAGGGAATATGACATGTACTCATGCAGGCTTATACGTAAAGGCTTTAGGGTCTAGGGTGTAGGAAGGGTGAAGGACTGCAGGACACCGCGCTGCTGGGGCGTTAAGGATGCTACTAGGATTCTCTCTACGGGCTTTCTTTCTACGGAGTTTCTTCGCATTAGTCGTAGAAAGCACAAATCTCAAATCAGGCATCTGGGGCACACCCTCTCCCTGGTAGAAACTTAGCTTGCAAACCTTGTAGAACCTTCATGGAAACCTAGGCCCTTCCAGACTGGGTTTGATTTTGATTCAGGAATTCAAAAGAAAGGCGACATAGTCGGGAATCCTCTGTATTTCTTGCAGATCCCTATTCTAAGCTCCGGGAAAAGAACCCAGTAGAACCCTTGTAGAATCAGGACCGGCAGAGAAGTTCATTGCTCAGTATCATAAGGGGAACTAAAAGTTAACCTATGGGATTGTAAGGTAGGGGCTGTAGAAATCCCCCAAAAGCATAAAGGCCCCTAAACCCGATGCCAGGCTTCAGCCACGACCGCTGCAAAGGCGCCGTTCTCCTGGGCGACCTGGCGACAGGAGACAAACCGATCATTCTCTTGCTGGGTTTAGGGTATAAAGTTTAGGAGTATGGGGTTTATGGTATAAGGTTTGGGGGTCTAGGGGTCCAGGGTTTCAGGGTTTGAGACTCAGGGCTCAAGGGTTTGGGGCTTGGGATATATGGTTTAGGAAGCGGGGAAACTTCACGGGTTCAAGGTTTATGGGTTTTGGGGCTAGAACACTTAATTCGTAAGGAGCTGATATGCTCTGAAACTTAGCTGAATAAGGAGTCCAGAATTTCGTTAAGATATGTGTGGCCGTAGTCTTGCGAAGCATGTTAGCTCATCAGGAATTCACAAGTATAGCGTAAGGGCTTGCTAGGGCTTTCCAAAAAGGCTCTCAAAAGTAGGCTTTCATGAGATTAGCAGGTCTCTTGTCTATAGTTCAAACGAATGCGCTCGCTGTTGCAAAGTAAAGTAAGTTCCATGTCCTCACCTCTCAGGCCTCTATGAATTCCCGTCGAGGTTGATTTCGGGTTGAATGGGCTTAATTAGGCTTGGGCTTCAGGCAAACCCGCAAGCCTACACATATGAGCCGTCTGTGGTCGCACCATACTGAACTGCAAGACCCTCCTACAAAACAAAGCCGCTCGGAAGTTCGCAAATCGTCGTTTGGCCGCTCTTGCTGAACATTCAACCATCTTGTTGCACTACGATCCAAGCTGCCAGGGTTACACGGATTATCAGAGAGTAGCGAAGGCCTGTCGAAATCTCTGCATGTGACTGCCCTTGACCTCAAGACAGCAACAAGACCCTGACCCTGCAACTCTTCAGCTCTGAACCCATAGATGCCATAGAGCCTTGGCGCTGCGTAATAGCCCCAAAGCCCACAAACACGCCGAAATCCAACAATCAAGCCAATAGGCATATAAGACGCAACCTGAATTTGAACTCCCGGCCTTTCTGACAAGCTCAATTTCCGCATCAGTATCAGTGCCGAAGCGATTGATGGCCACGACAGCCTGACCACAGATTCAGAGTGCGAGGGTGTTCCTAGAAGCCCCAAACACCGTGCCTTCTCGACCAGATATCCAGTGTGGAGACTGTTATACCCAGAGGCCCCATAGTAGTTCCTTTTTGGGATCGCCTTATAAGATTCTAAATATGAACCCCAGCAAGGAACTACTCTTGGGCCTTGGGTAATGCGAGTCGGAGGTTCAAATCTGCATGTGTCTCATGGCTGAGCCCCGTCAAGGTTTGGGGTTTTGGCCTGGGCAAATAGGTGGAATTTTGTTGAATGTTGTGTGGCCCTGATTTCTTCTGCAAGGGGTCTGGGATTTGCACCTACACTAAGCCAAAAATCATCTGATATTAAAAAACAGCAACACAGAAACCCACAAACCCTGATACTCAGCATCTACAAACCCCGACACTGACACTCCAGAAGCAAAGCCATTTTCGGTCCGAGCCTTCACGCCATGCTTGCGCACATTCCTGGGTCGGATTTCGGGTGCTCAAGGTCGCATAAGGTTTAGAGGGTTTAGGGTTTAGCGGGTTTAGGGTTTAGGGCTTTAGGGCTTAAGGGTTTTATTCAATCTTCCAATATCTTCGAAGGGTTTTGTCAGGTTCTCCGGAAGCATCTTCCACCTCAAGATGCTCCCAAAGAAGCTGACTGCTGTAACTACTACATAGCACGTAGCATATGATAGTAAAGCTAAAGTGTACTATCGCATACCCTAGTCTGGTACAATATTGTCAGTACAGTCCAGGAAAGAATAGCGAAGTTGATAAGAATACACTACCCAGGGCACGGTGCAGTTTTAGTTTGCGGAAGGGCTCATGCTCGTGCCCTGATCACTATTTTTAACTTATCATATACTCTACATTACTGTACTATACTATACCATACTATGGTTACCATTGTAAGGGTTCAAAGGACCCAGTAATTAGGTGCTCGGCTTTAGGATAGCAGTTATGTAGGTTAGGATTTGGGAGAGTACATGATTGTTAGGTACTTGGACCCTTGGGGTACTATATACTATAATACACTACTGTACGATACTGACGCCACAGCCCACGGCAAGCAGAAGGTTACCTACCAATCAGAAGAGGGTTTTGCGGTGTTCTAACAAGGGACCCAGAGGCATACTAGCGGTAATCATGCCGGCCCCTATGCCCTAAACCCTCACAGAACCCTACTAGAACCCTACTCGAACCCTTATAGAAACCTACTACAGCCCTGAAGGGAACCCTGCCTGAACCCTTAAGGGAGCTCGTTTCAAGCGCTCTTCAGCTGAAGCTCTGGATGTGTGCCACCAGGTTAGAGCAGCCTTTCTGGACCAGATCCAGGTTCTCCTCGTGGGTACTTGGAGGTTCATGGGTAGTTATAAGGGTTCCTTTGAAGGGATTTATAGGGATTCTTTCAGGGTATAGGGTTTAGGGTCTACTTGGAGGTTCATGGGTAGTTATAAGGGTTCCTTTGAAGGGATTTATAGGGATTCTTTCAGGGTATAGGGTTTAGGGTCTACTTGGAGGTTCATGGGTAGTTATAAGGGTTCCTTTGAAGGGATTTATAGGGATTCTTTCAGGGTATAGGGTTTAGGGTCTACTTGGAGGTTCATGGGTAGTTATAAGGGTTCCTTTGAAGGGATTTATAGGGATTCTTTTAGGGTTTAGGGTCTACTTGGAGGTTCATGGGTAGTTATAAGGGTTCCTTTGAAGGGATTTATAGGGATTCTTTCAGGGTTTAGGGTCTACTTGGAGGTTCATAGGTAGTTATAAGGGTTCCATTGAAGGGATTTATAGGGATTTTTTCAGGGTTTAGGGTCTACTTGGAGGTTCATGGGTAGTTATAAGGGTTCCTTTGAAGGGATTTATAGGGATTCTTTCAGGGTTTAGGGTCTACTTGGAGGTTCATAGGTAGTTATAAGGGTTCCATTGAAGGGATTTATAGGGATTTTTTCAGGGTTTAGGGTCTACTTGGAGGTTCATGGGTAGTTATAAGGGTTCCTTTGAAGGGATTTATAGGGATTCTTTCAGGGTTTAGGGTCTACTTGGAGGTTCATAGGTAGTTATAAGGGTTCCATTGAAGGGATTTATAGGGATTTTTTCAGGGTTTAGGGTCTACTTGGAGGTTCATGGGTAGTTATAAGGGTTCCTTTGAAGGGATTTATAGGGATTCTTTCAGGGTTTAGGGTCTACTTGGAGGTTCATGGGTAGTTATAAGGGTTCCTTTGATGGGATTGATAGGGATTCTATGGGTTCCTTTGATGGGATTGATAGGGTTTAGGGTTTGGGGTCTACTTGGAGCTTCATGGGTAGTCATAAGTGGGGTTATAAGTAAGGTGGCTACAGTTATAAATCCATTAGGGGGCTTAAAACTTATAACCCTACTTATAACTACCCATGCACCTTCAAGTACTATGAGGAGTATCATGAAGGCTACCATATGAGGGTTACTATAAGGGTTACCAAGTTCTCCTGGCTTGCCATGCAATGCGACTAGTGGGTACTGTGAGGGGTACTTGGAACGGTACTGTTGGGCTACTCTAAGGCTCACTAAGAAGGTTACAATAGGGGCTACTGTAAGCGTCACTATGGGGGATACTATGAATCAAAAAGCTTACTACAAGCGTTAGTATAGCAGTACTTTAAGGGGCTCGTATAGGAATTACTACAAGAAGTACTAGTGGTGTTGCTTTTTCCTGGCTTTTCCAAACAGCCCAATTTGGACTAAATGTCAGGAGGCTGCCGACAACGAGGGACCCCTAGTGCAGAGCCTAACTATTGTAATTATTAATACTACTACTCTTGATCTTGTTCTTGTTGTTACTACAGCTTTACCTTTATTTGTAAAAATATCCACCGCAGGAGGCGGCTCCTCGCTGTACTCCTTGGAGGGTGTCTGCCCGGCCACTATTTTCGGTGCCTGCGAGCCCAAACTGTTGGGATATGGATTTGGGGTTTGGGGTTCAGGGTTTAGGAACTGGAGCCGAACCCCTTTCGCCATCCGTCAACCAAAGCAAGCCGAATTAGCCGGGGTGCCCTCGTAAGGGCTCCAGCTGCCCGAAAAAACACTCGACTTCTGGGTTGCATCACCTGTGACTATAGTATTCTCCTGGTTGAGTAACTTCGTGATGGTAAAAGACATCCCTGCCGCGGTTTTGCAACCGTCTGCATCGCTTCATGGAGCTACTCGCATTGAATTCTCAGGTTCCTGCTTGGAAGTAGAAAACAGCTTTAGTTTCACATGACCTAAACTTAAACTCTAGCCAATTTCCAGTTAGAAAGCCCCCTCAAACAGACAGTTTCACGCAGAACCGCAAAGTATAAAGGTAAGCATGAATGTTGGCTTGCTCTTTCACAATCCAACCACGGGAAATTGGGATCTACTTTCTATGCCTGAAAGTACTGCCTTCCTTCATGAGAAGGGTATTGGGCTCCCTGAAGCCCTCCAAAACCCAAAGCCCGCGATGTCCCCTGGAGGCGGAGGCCTCGCAGCTGTGGAGCTTCAAGGCCCGAACCGAGCAAACAATCACGGCGCAGTCTGGCTTGAGGCCACCTTTGTGAGCTCTTGTAGAGTAGCGTACTTGTGTGTATATGCATATGTATATACATATTATATAAATAAATATATATATATATATATACATATATCAAAGAGAGAGAGAGAGAGAGAGAGAGAGAGAGAGAGAGAGCGAGCGCGAGAGAGCGAGAGCGAGAGCGAGAGCGAGAGGAAGAGGGAGAGGGAGAGGGAGAGAGAGAGGGAGGGAGGGAGGGAGGGAGGGAGGGAGGGAGAGACCCCACGCCATTTAACGAAGCCTCTTGTTTACCGATTTGGGATTGTGCAAAAATTATTTTTGGATCTTAGGGGCTTTGCTGTTCTGTAAGGGCTCTTTGGGGCTTTGGGTCTCGGTGGATTGAACGAACTGTGTAAGCTGTGTCGGTTAGTACGTACATAGCATACAGGATTTTCGAATTTCTCCAAGCTTCTTTGCCAGGCCGCCCGTTTAGGGCTTAAAGGCTCTTTCAGCTTTGGAATCCTAAGCCCGGAACTAGCTCTAGGATAAGTTCTTGTAGGGCGTCATAGCATCTTTGTATCGTGGAGCGCAGAAGGCCCTCAAACTCCATGCCCTGGATGCGCGAGCTTCTGCTCAAAGGCTGAACCTTGAAGTCCCTATAACTCAAGTCCTTAGACCCGCGGTCTGGAACCGCGGTTGTATAGCTCCCTGGGAACCGCTCCCTTGAGGCCCTACGGATCCCGTAGCACGACTTGACTCAAGCCGCTGTAGTAGCACTTGATGTTGAAAAACTTTTCGCCGCCCATGTCGGAGCCAAATCCGGCCTGCCAGCCACGTAAGACATTTTCATGGGGAAGTATGTGTGGGTTTCAACAACGAGAGGCGGCCCTCGCGTAAATCCCCAATCAAAAGATGAAGGCACCAACAACTAATGTACGCGCCAAGTCTTGAAAAGAGAACGCGTGGGTAAGCAACTCCCTCCTTCTTAGGATGATCATCACCCGTGAAGTACACTCCTACTATTTAGGGTACTATATAAGGGTCCCCCCATTTCGGAAATTCCCACATCCCTCCGATCTCCAAGATCTCGGAGCCTCGGTCAGCACATAGCCACCCTTGCCGACGAGCTTCAGGCCAATAAGATCCTCGGTATCAGCAAAGCATCAAGTGAACCCACTTAACCTGAAACTAAAACCCCGAAAATGCATACCCCAATCAACAAGCAAGCCCGAACCCCAAACACCTAAAACTACGAGGACCCAAACCGTAAACCCAAAACCCCAACCTGAAAATCCTTCAACACCACCAAATCCTTTGTCGAGACATCATACTCCACTCGAAACCCTTAAATCCCGCGACATGATTCAAGCCCCAAAACCTCTAGCAAACACAGCAAAACCCACAGCCATGGAAAAAACGCGAAGCTCCCATAACTCCATCCGTGAGAGTGCCTCCCAGCTGCAGAGATGATGGAGGAGTTGCCATGGGCGATGTTGGCAAAGGGCCCTGCCTTAGATCAGATGGGCCTTGCTGCTGGACTATCGTAGTCGATTCTGGGATTCTCGGTTTGTGGTTGGCCCTAAACAATTGCAACAGGAGTTCACTGCGACGTTCATTGCAGCAAAGACACCGAATGCGGACCGTAACCCAGGCCACCTGAACCCTAAAACCCAGAAAACCACGAAACCCCAAAGTCCAAAACCCTCCTAAACCCGTAAGCCCCTAGGCTCTTAAACCTTAAATCTTAAGAAACTATCCTGAAACCTACAACCCCAGTATGCAACCAACAATGTAGTACCGTTCAAGGAACCTTAAAGTAAGCATTTTGGGGAGGGCGCTGAATCAGCTTCGAGCGGAAACAGTGACTTCTCTTCTTCTCAAGTCCCCAGACAGCTCCTGAGCCCGACTTGTCTTCGTGGGATCCTTATCTTCGGAGTTACACGGTGTAGGCCCCTGCCTTGTTCTGTTGCTGTTGCGTAACTTACTAAATCCTCTTCAGGGGCCCGGACCGCTACCCCATGTACTCGGGCACCTGAGCTCCCCGAGCTCGTACAACAACAAAGGCTACAGGGTACCCCAAACCCAGATCCCCATACGGTGTAACAGGGCATAAGTTGCTAGAAACCCTACACCCTAAGTTAGGGTTTTGGTTAGCAAGCTTTGCATGCTTTCTCAGCCCGAGCAGCGTGAACGAGGGCTGGCGTACCCTCAAGGGTCTGCATCGTGTTCCTCGGAGTCTTCGGGCACTGAAGGGATAGGCCTTGGGGCGTTTAGGATTTAGGATTGGTTGGGAGGGTGAGGGCAAGTAAGGAAAAGTTTGGGGTGCATGTATTGTCTCAGCGAGTAAGTCGCGGATCCCGCAGGTGGCTCAAGATAATCCCCATTGTACGTGACACGGAGTCATTCGCGTCCCGGCCTCAGATGGTGGGCAAGGCATTGCTATCACCTTTTGACAATTGCTGCAGTGCGGATCGTGACTATAACGATATGGTCGGATGGGTGGGTTACTTGCCCATGCTTTAAGCCCAATTCCGAGCCCTTTGGGTCCATGTCTTGTCTAAAGTTCAAACAGTCAAAGGAATGATTGAACAGCATTCTCCGAATCTTTCAGACTATAAAACAAGCAATCACGTGGGATTAAGTACTGTAGCGCAGTGAACCATCTCCTTTGAGAGAACAGAATCCAAGAAGGCCACTCTCTAGCATGGCCCTTGTAGGAAGAAGAGGGTCTACAAATCAGAGGTCTACAATACCATGGTCATGTCCTATAACTATAAGCCCCCCTCTGCCAACACAATCTGTAAAACACCTACCCTAAGGCCCCATAGTAGTTCCTTCTTAGGGTTCATATAAACAATCCTACAAGGCAATCCCAAAACGGAACTACTATGGGTCTTATGGGTAGTTACAATTACAAGGCAGACAGACCATCCAGGCCGAAGCTCGGTGGCAGCGCATCCATCATGAGGACTGCCAGTGCGCCTTCGACCAACCGCCCGGAGTATCTCAGTAATGTAGGAACCTGATTAAGAAACCCTGGGCCTATAACCCCAAAATAGTAGGACTCGGAGAAGGAACCCTAATAAAGGCCCAAGGTTTCTTAATCAGGTTCCTAAATTATACCCCGAAACTTTGCAGGGCCTGCGTAGGGTTTTCTCAGGGTGTCACCGAGGTCTGTAGGATTTTCACTGGATATCGTTAAAATGAACCACGGCTATATCACGGTTTCTTAAGCCCCATGGAGCATCCCCTGTGAAGGAATCCCCCCTCTGGAACCCTATTATAGAACCCTATGGTACCCTTATTGTTGAGTGTACTCCTGCATCGAAGGGGTGTTTGAGCCTGCGGGCATCTGAGCTTCAAGGTTGAGGGTTCAGAATGGGGTTCTGGGGCATACGCACGAAGACTAGCGGCTCTGAACAATCGTGATCTTCACAGCTTTGGGGCCTGCTTTCGATTTGTTGTTGTCGGAAAAGGGTGTGGAGGGCTGAAGGGTTTCGGGCAGCTGCAGCCCTGTAAGAGAGTCGGCCTTAATAGTTAGAATAGGGCCCAGGCCCAGGGGCATAGTAAACAAAACCTATAATTAATAAGGAACCCCCAGAACCAAGCCCCAATCCTTCAAGCTACTGCCGTCTCTAGGCCTGTAATGCCGAAGTCGTCTGCTGTGATGGGCTCCCCCTGCCAACATGCGAGCTCCGGTTAGACAATGTCAGCGAAATTGTGAAGCATTTGGGAACACGGCCGTACGCAGGGTTTTGGGGCAGGGGTGGATATTTACCCAGCTTTGACGGCTCAACGGCGTGCAGAGCCTCTAGCTACGTGGACGCTTATGTCCCGATAAGGAGAGGTCTGCAACTACTGTCACTTGATAGGGCCCGCTACGCCTCTCACTTTAGTTGGATCTGTTCTTCGCATTTTAGCACCATCAAAACATTTAAAAACCTGTCGCTGGGGCAGCTGTCGAGTCTGCCAAACCATAGCAGCCACCCTCCCCCTCAGCCCGAAAGCCCCAGACCCCCAATACACTAAACCATACAACCCTAAACCCCTAGAACCGTAAACCCCTAAACCCTAAACCCCCCCAAAACCCCTAAACCGTATACTTCCCCATGGGATCCATGGCCTTCTTGGAGTAGCAGCAGATCATCTTCCCCAGTCTCGTGCGGAGGTCCTTCAAGTCCGTGGCCAAGGCCAGGATTGCCATGATCTCCTTGGAGCCCAATACCCCTCAATTAAGGAATACCTAGGGTTCCTTCAAGGGACCTATAGGGTTTAGGGGTTTAGGGTGATAGGGTGATGGGGTGTAGGGTTAGGGGTTTAGGGTTTAGGGGTTTAGGGTTTAGGGCCATGATCTCCTTGGAGCTCGAAAGCTGAAGAGCCCAATACCCCTCAATTAAGGAATATACCTTGGGTTCCTTTGAGGGATCTATAGGATTTAGGGGTTTAGGGTTTAGGGGTTTAGGGTTTGGGGGTTTAGGGGTGTAGGGGTTTAGGGTTTAGGGCTGGAGCTCGAAACCCAGAGAGCCCAATACCCCCTTAATTAAGGAATATACCTAGGGTTCCTTTAAGGGATCTCTAACGGGATCTGTAGGCGTTAGGGTTTAGGGGACTCCAATACCCCTTAATTCAGGAATATGGCTTAAATTATATAGGGCTTCATATTACGATATAAGGTATATTCCTTAATCAAGAGGTATTTGGCTCTCTGGAAAGCTGAGAGCCACTGTCTGTTGCGAATGTAATAAGGGCCTTCATACTTAGAATTGGGCTTTTGGGGGGTAGAATACCAAAGCTGTGCGGGAGACCTGAGGAATGGTACTGGTCAGTTACTCGGCTTATGGCCGCTATGGAACATGGCATGCATGCATTCGTAGTCCCTGTGATGGGCAGTCGCATGATTCTCGTCAGGATGAGAGTGGAAGCTCGACACCCCTACCCGGCAACCCTAACCCTGTGAAATCGTGCGTGAACTCACCGACGACTGACCCCAAATAGACAAACAAGGAAGGCATTACACCACAAGCTTAAGCTTCGCCCCGCAAACCTTTCTCCAGTTTCTTGGAGGAACTGAAGATATCCCTCTGAGGATACAAATGGATGTCAAACATAAACTAGGTTCCTGAGTAGCAGCTTCATAATAAGGGTACCCTTGTGCTACTTTAAGGCTGTAATCACGGGAACCTACAACAAAAACGTGTACTTTATTCGGAGTACAAGGCTTCAATAAGGGGACCCTAAAATCAACAACACGGTACTCTGTTCCTACTGTTAGAAGGCTTTTTAATAAGGGGTTCCCTCAAATAAGAAAGGGCTAAAAGGGTAGCAAAGCCCCCTTCTTCGAGAACGGGAGGTCGGGCTGCGGAGCTGACGGTGATGCCGTAGGAAGCCATCCGCTTCATCTGCTCTCCCTGTGGCAGCTGGGAGGATTTAGGGTTTAGAGGATTAGGGTTTAGGGTTCAGGGTTCCGGGATTAGGGTTTAGGGGTGTAGGATCTAGGTGTCTTAAAAACCGAAATATGGGAGTTTCCGAACATGGGGGACCCCTAATTTACTTCGTACCCTAAATTGTAGGATCCTTATGGTAAGGACCCCGTGCTTCTGGAGTGGTTGCATGCAAGCTTAGGATGCACATCCCGCCTTCTTCTTGGAGAACTCGGACGAGTTCAACCCAATCTCCACCTTCCTCAAATACTTATCACCTTGGGCAGCAGGGCCACAACAGCTTACAGACAACACACCCGAAGCAGCTACTTGGAGGTTCATGGGTACGTAGTGAAAAGCGGGTTCTGAGTCCCCTAGTAGGAGTTCTAGCTATAGTTACCCTACAAAATATCCCCACTTATAACTACCCATGAACCTGCAAGTAGACCCTAAACCCTATACCGTGATAGAATCCCTACAAATCCCTTTAAAGGAACCCGTATAATTACCCATGAACCTGCAAGTACAGCATTCATCAAACCTCCCGGGAGCCGTCGTGCCCGAACCAGGCAGGGGAGATCCGTTTAGGGTTTAGGGGCTGACTTGGCTTGTTTGTAAGATGTTTGCAGAATACCTACTGGCCAAGGCTCGGGCATCCGTCGATGGAGGAGCGAACTTGAAGGAAAGCTGCAGGGGAATCCGGCCCTACCCTGCCGGCCTAGTGCACAGCCCAAAAATCCTCACATGAATCGGTTCTTTCAGAATCGTGCCTGAGCCCGCTGAGCTTCCTGACAATGCCCGAAGCCCTCATTCAGGGGTTCTTTTTTGCGGATCCTACTATTTAGGGTACTTTATTAGGGTCCCCTATTTTCGGAAGTGCGAGCCAAGGTGCTGCAGTCGGTCACACGCCTTGCAGCTTCGGACTTTGGGTCGGGGGCCCTACCCTATAATGGGCTATATAATGGGTACATAATAGCTATATTGAGGGTATATACCTAGGGGTCCTTATTAAGGGGCAAAGGTCTTAGAGTTGCGGGGTCATGACTTCAGCGAATTCAGGCTTCAGGGGCTCAAAGATGATAGTTGATCTCGAATCACCGAACCTCCTCCCTGATCACTACTATCAGGTCCGTACATGTTACCGCTGTGTTTACTGTTGTTATGACCGTTATACACCATCATCATCACAATCAACAGTATTGTCGAACATCGGCTTATGTTGATAAGCCCCACAAACATTTTCACCTTACGAGCTTGTCTGCGCAGCTCGACCTCCATGTGATCGTGTCCGGGTCGATGTCCAATATGCAGAACTTTTCAATCTCCTCCTTGCAACAGATAAATGGACCGGCTCTTTTCCGAAAGCTCGGGTAACGGTTTACGCCGCCACGCCGTTAAAGGCCCAGGCTGTGGAGCAACGGGCTTGCGTGTGATTGAGGCCGGGGGCTCAACACGTGGACTTGTCTTGGGAAAGTGCTATTTATATATACGGCTTCAAGCTTACCGCGCAGAGATTCTGGGGGATCTGATGTTTTTTTCATTCCTTGAACAGGACATGTTGAACACCACGAGTTCATGACCGAGGCCACGTCCCCTTGCGAAGTTCTGAAATCCCCACGAACAACCCCCTCGAGCTCCAAGCCCTGATCCCTGAACCCAAACATGTAATATAGGGGCCTTCTAAGTCGAATAGGGTTTTGGGGCCCATTGTACTATAACGATAATAAGGAAACGCCAAACTCTGATCTTTTAGGCCCCTAGATTAGTATCCTTAGGGACCCGTGCTTGGGTGTCGCCGTAACCCTCCTAGAAGTGAAGCATGGTACACCATCCAACATACCATGGCCCAAATATCCCAACTTCACATTTGGGAGCTTCCGAAAATAGGGGACCCTAATATAGCACCCTAGATGGTAGGATCCTTATTATAAGGGCCCCGAAATATGGTGCCCCTCATTTTCGGAAACCCCCATTTCAACCCCTGCAGTATTGCCTCCCTGACTTCAAACATCCTCGGAACCTGCGCTGTCCTCTGTCAGCAAATCGGGATCCTCCAGGGATCCCGCCGGTGTTGCGAGTGTCGTGGGATTTTACAAGGTTGAAGCTCATGCTCTCGAAATGTAGAGTATTTATTAGAAGGGGCCCCCACCCTGTAATAGTGGTATAGTAGGAATATAATAGGGCCCTAATATAATCCTTAGAGTCACTATTACAGGGTGGGGGGGGCCCTTCTAAAGTATTCGTGTCGACTATTTAGGTTTGAAGGGGCCTGAGAGTTGATGGGTTTGGAGTCCTCCTTGATTCGGTTCCGGTGCTCGAAGCACATGCTACAGAGCACTTAAGGGTCGGGGCAGAGGACGCGAAGTTAGACGACTAACATGAAGTGTTGGGCCTTGGCTACATTCTACTGACGACGGGTTGGCAAGGACTGGGTTCTTGTTAAGGGACTTAATCTAAGTTACCATAATACGGAAGCCTTATTATTCACTATAGATCCCTATTATGGTAACTTAAATTAAACCCCTTAACAAGAACCCAGAGGAGTCATCGCGCGGTTAAGACTTGAAGAACGTCGTAGCAAGTTTCGGTGCTGAGGATATCCGGATCCGGGTCTTTAGCATTTGTATAAGAGAGGGGCCTTAATAATTCGAATATAGGGTTCCCCTTGAAGGGGGCTATAAGGGTTACTAGAAGGGCTCTACAAGGGTACTATAATGTATGGGCCATAATAATCAGAAAAGGGGTTTGGGAGATAATACACAATAAGTATAGCAAGGAGCCCCCAAAATAGTATTGGTACTCAGTCCGGGTTCCAAGCTTTCGGAGGGAACATGTCGCTCCCTTTTCTCCGGCTCCAGCCCCCAAAACTCAGGGTCTCCGACAGCATCGGAAGAAAAACATGTGGGTAGTTCTCTAACTAGAATCCGTTTGAAGCAACCTAAAAGAAGGCTTTATGCCCTCATAAAGAAGGCCCAGAAAAGGATCGGAATTCAAAGAACTCCCCCTATATTCCCTACCCGAAGGCTCTTCTTGGGTATATTCTAGGCGGTTCAGCAACCCACTGGGAAAAAGTATATACTTTTTTAGGCTTCTTATTTTACAATAGGAACCCAGGAACCTGAAAGTAAAAAAGTGTACCACTGAACAGCCTGGTAGTATGGCTTTCGGGCACGGCACCCTTGTAAAAAGGACACCAAAAGGGACCCCAATCGAGAGAACTGGCCATGTGCTGCCAAGTTACGTGTTTTTTGTGGGACAGGCCCAGCTTCTCCTAAAGCTGTGGGGGGGTTTAGGGTTTAGGGCTTAGTGGCTTAGATTATAACGTGAGCAATTCGGCGCAAAGTAAACTTACGTACATGTGTTCTTTTTGAAGGATCACAGCTGGCAATACTCCAGTCGAAGCAAGGATGTGACAATGTTAAATCCGTTTGGGTGTTGGAAAAGCAAAGTCGGTCTTCATAAAATGTCATATAAAACATAACATAGCATAACAAAATAGACTATACTACTAGGTTTTTCGCATCCAATTAATAATAAAGGGCAATTAACCTTTTTCCTAACATTCAGTTTTAATAAGGAGGACCCAAAGTAAACAGGGCAAAAGGCTGCTACTCAAGAACCGAACCACCATTACCGAAACTAGTGCCGAACCCCCCCCCCTCCCCCCCCCGCATGCTTGATGATTGCTGACAGTCTTCCTGGCAAACACCGATCCACAGCCAACAAATGCAACGCCTTCGCCCCTCATCCTAAACCTTCGAATGCAGGGGCCGTGATAATTAGAATAGGGTTTTGGGGTATATTTGATTACAACGAACCCCCAAGATAGTATTGGTAATTATATATGCCCGGGTATTACTGTAGGGGACCCCTTATTTAGTACCCTAAATAGTAGGATCCATATTATCAGGACCCCAGAATAAGGTACCCCCTAATTTTTGGAAACTCCCCAACTAAACCCTAAACGCAAAACCCTAAACCCAGACAGATAGAGATCCCTTCATAGAGATGAGCATCCAGGCGAGCGTACATCGATGGTTCGAACTGGCGCTTGCCGTGCTTGTCCTCGGGGAGTGGGACAGAGTGCAGGCTTCTCCAATGCAGCTTTTTGATGCATCGAGTCTATTTATATCCCCAGAGGACTTGATCATCTGATATGAACGTGCATACTACTACAAGGTGTATACACATTACGTGGCTTTTTCATGCTTTGACGACTTGCCACCAGAGGTTCATGGCTTGCTTTCCAAGATCTAGCCCGTGCCTACTTGGAGGGTCATGGGTAGTTATAAGTGGGGTCATAAGTCGGGTAACTATACTTATAACTCCTATTAGAGGACTTATAACACCACTTACAACTACCCATGAACCTCCAAGTACACTCGAAACTCTAAAGCCGTATTCAAGGGACATGCAGGGTTTTGCCAAAACTCCCAGTTGGCGAACTGTGGAATGAGTTAAGTCTTCACGCTGGGGTCTACGCATGCTCTTCTCGTTAATTTGTACATTCTAGGGTTCATCAGGATAACATGGGAGCCTCATTAATCGGTAGAATAGGGCTTCAGGCCACTTTCTAATAGCTTCAATCAAGAACCATCAGGAATAATGCTAGTACTTTTTCACGGTTGTGTTTTACACAACTCCAGGGTCCTTAGGTGCCGAGCTCTGCTAGAAATTCATACATAGGGCTTAGGGCTTTAAGTGCTTCAAAGCCCAGCAAAGGCGAATGCCCTATGCAGTCCTATTCTATTCAGACTGTCTGGTTCCTAGTAGGGAATGGCGGAAGGGACTACGGAGGATTATGTAGGGACTACTACAGGGATCCATTCCCCCATTACCTACGAAGCACCAGACAGTAGGGTCGAGGGCGCGTGAGCCGCGCTGGCAAATCTCGAGGCGAGCCCCTAAAGCCCTAAACCCCGGACAACAACAGCAACTCGTGGGAGGCCAAAAGCGGGGTTTAAAATTCTTGGGGTAGGGATTCCTTAATATGAACCCTATTATGGGGACCCTAATCCCTACTATTTCCCCATATAGGCTAAAACCGAATTTTTTGGCCTCCTGTGAGCAAACCTCAACAAAAATGAACACCTTGGGCGTTGCACTGCCAGGGCTCAACAGGGCAGAGACGATTCCAGATGAACTTTGCCGATGAGCTGTTCCTGCAGAGTTCATCTTCCTTTCGTTTTTACTCCTGATTCCTGTCGAAGGCTACCTTCCAGCACATAAACCTTGTAAACCTTGCCTGATTATTCCTTCCAGACCTTACAAAACCCAACCTTATACGATAAAAAGCCTTTGCGACCCCCTGGAAAGAGTCGGCCTTAGCTGTCCTAAGATGTGTTTATTTATCACGTCTCTACATGATACCGGGGGCCGTGGACGAGACGAATAGAGTGGTAACAGTAATACCAATAATGGAGATACTTATGCTAAGACTATGGATTTCGCGTAGACCCCAGTGTTCGGGCCCAGTAGCTCGTGGTAGTACCTGGTATCGATGGCCGCGGCAAAAAGGTTGTGCGCGGCGGTGATGGCATGGATGTCGCCAGTCATGTGGAGGTTGAAGTCCTGCTTGGGCTAGGTCTGCATATTCTGAGAGTACGTTAAACTACTGTTTTGTAGGTTGTCAACCCCTGATATAATGGACTTCTATGGGGACCCTACACTTAAGTAGGTTTTGGTAGGGTTTCGCGCATAGTGACGAAGGGCTCTAAGGGCTGCTGATAAGTTTCAAACCGGCTTTCGGCTGCAGACCATCGTAAAGAGTCCACTTGGAGGTTCATGAGAAGTTATAAGTGGGGTCATAAGTAGGGTAACTATGCTTATAATGGCTTATAACTCCTATCAGAGGACCTGTAACCCCAGTTATAGCTACCCATGAACCTCCAAGTACGAGAGTAATTACACAAGATGTGCTCTGAAGGCAACAACGACAAAGAGCCTTCTTCAGTGCCAGAGCACATTCAGACGGATACTGATAAGCATCTGGCACAGCTGTATATTGCCTGTATGCATAAGTATATGCAAGCATATATACACATATACGCTCGTATATAGTTTGTTGGGGTATGTTCTAGCATGTATTGCTATATGGGCTATCGGGGGATACGGTTACTAACTATCAACTTAAACCATAAAACTGTAAGGCTAAACCTTAAACTCGGCGCCAAAACCTTCCATATTGGGCATCCGAGAGCCATTCCGGGCCTCCCAGAAGTTCTAGGAGGCATACGGTGAAGGGACAGTGTTTGTTGTACTCTACAATGGTTTAGGGTTTAGGGTTTAGGGTTTAGGGTTGTGCGGATACCAACTATGATAAACAGAAGAGTACTGAACTCGATAGTATTCTGGGCGTATCTGTATGTATAGACATGCTCACAGGACTACGAGTGCGATAGCTTGTGGGGTTCACCCAAAAGCCCTGTTCGTTCTTCCTTGGTCTCACAGCAGGGGCCAGGGCATCGGGATTTCTGCAGCACGTTATGATCTTTTGTTTGGCCCCCCTGGTTATTATTTGTAAAAAAATATCTGCGTGCCTATGTGTCTCTGCATTTCCACGTGCATATACATATACATATACATATGCACACACAGACAAGGGCATACATACAGGACATATGCATACACACACACACACAGACATGCATACGTACATACATAGGCATGCAGAGGCCACCCTTACCCCTTCCTCCATGGGGAAGCACTGCGCATATCCGCCTCCGGCAGCGCCTCCCTGGCAGGCGCGATTCTACGGCGTTTAGGGGATTGGATTCTAGGGTGCCTGGATTTTGTAGTTCCGTGCGATTGGGTTATAGGGTCTAGAGCATGGAGTTTCGAGGTTTAGGGCTTTGGGCTGCGTGCCAAGCTCAGAAACCACTAGCCCAGCCCAGGCCTTAAACTCCACCCGCAAGCCCAAATCCCAAACCCTAGATCTCAAACCCACGGATGCCACAAGTTCCTGAACACCAAGAGTCCCCAAAACCCTGCAAACACCAACAGCAACAGCTCAGGAAACTGCCGTACTTCCTCAAGGGTTAGGCCCGAACGAGCTTGAAATACATACACCCCCCGAAGCACAACAGAGGCCTAAGCCTGCAAGCTCATGGCTTTCAAGCACGCTGATAGGGCCTAGGGTTTACTGCACCCTGAAGCGCCGAAGGCCTACATCATTGCGCCCAACAAGCTTGAAACCTCTCAAATCCTGAACTCCCTCAAATCTTGCACGAGGATCCGCAATAATTCGAGTAGGGTTTCGCGGCCTAACATACAAAAAGTATAACAAGGAACCCCCAAATAGGTTTTGGTGTTTACTAAGGCCCTATATATTAAACGACACAGACCACGAAGCCAAACAGGAGCCACCAGAACTTCCCACACAAATCACTTCAAAATTCCTCAAGACTGTCTTAGGGTTTAGGGGTTTAGGGTTTAGGGGTTTAGGGTTTAGGGTTTAGGGCCTATGAAATCCGAACGCAATATGCCTTAAATTCGAAAATCGAAAACCCCTCACTTTCAAACCGTCAGGCCGGATCTACAAGGCCTAAAGCCTCCTAAGCCCCAAACCCTTAGAGGAACCCTTAGGGGCACCTTAAGCCCTGTCCTAAACCATCATAGACCTCTTGCATGAGCTCTTCAATGATCTCTTGAAAGAACCCTTAAAGTACAGAACAGTAACCCTATTATAGAACCCTAAAACACCCTTAGAGCAACCCTATTATAGAACCCCGAAAACATGCTTAAAGGAACTACGAGTAATGTAGGGCCTTCATAATGAGAAAAAGTAGAAGTATAAAAAGGACCCCCCAAACAAAACCGTACTGGTAATTATGTAAGCCCCTGTAATACCGAAGTCTGAAAAATCAGAGGGCTCCGAGCCTTTATTCCAAAGGTCGGTCCCATGGAGGGCTGGCGGATGTTCGTCAGAACCTCTCCGCTTGGAGAATGAGGGTTTAGGGGTCTCTAAAACTATCGGGATGCGTTCTCAGAAGGTTTATACTGTTTATAAGAAGGTCTTCTCTAAACTTATCGGGATTCCTTACCTGGACCCCCCAAGAGCCCTTTAATAGAGCCCCTGTCGTCCCTTATAATAGCGGGTATTTGGGATATAATAGAGGGTAACATGTTTTCGTAAGGCTGATAATTATATAAGTTGCTTGATGGTTTCCAGTCCAGTATAGAGGCATGAATATGAAGAGAGTCGAGTTTTGGTGGTGCTTACCGAGATTGTTCCCGGGAGCTCTAAGCAATTTTCCACGCTTCCATGTTGGTGCACTCGGGGCTTACGGTTGTACGGTTTGGAGTTAGGGTTCAGGGATTCGGGCTTCAGAGTTTTAGGAGGTTAGGGTGGTGGAGTCTGCAGATGTTGCTTGAGAAGTAAAAGACGCTGTGGACGACGCCGTAGAAATCCATAAAGCCTTTAGCGCCCTCAGCGCGCTGCGGGATCACCGTCACGATAACCCCACTACCGGCCCGCAATGCCACATAGAACCACATGTAAAGAGCCTTAAACCCTAACCTACCCTCAAAACCCCAAACTCCAAACCCTAAACCCCCAAAATCCTACACCTTAGTTCTTATCCTCGCGGCCTTCTGGCCGAGATGAGCACCGAGAGCTTGAGAAAGTCCCACGGTGGTTGTGGACTTGCCTCCCATTTGCTGTGAAAGATGGCAGCCACTAGGTTTAGGGTTTAGGGGTAACCCATTAATGATCAGCGTACCCTTTTCCTAAAAAACAAGATCAACAAGGAGACGCCAAACCAAAAAGAGCAAAAGGTTACTACTCAGGAACCTAGTCATGAAAATAGGGCCCCTTTAACGTGCTCTTTGCAAGGGCTGCTATCAGCGTACTATGAGGGTTGAGCAAACATTCTGTTATTTTGCCTCGGTAAGTTATCCTCCAAGTCAGGTTTATGCTGCGGTGGCTCGATGATCTGCGGTTTCGGAGCTGGTGGAAGATTGAAGGCTGATCGGCCAATCCGAAACCACCGGCAGGGACAAGTCGCAACCTACACCCTAATGTAGGAACCTGATTAAGAAACCCCGGGCCTATAACCCCCAAAATAGTACGATTCATACAAGGAACCCTGATGAAGGTCAAGGTTTCTTAATCAGGTTCCTACTTTAAACAACCATAAACCATCCAGGAAAATGCTATGGACTCTGCACCCAAAAGAAACGATGCCTTCACCGAGCGGGGTTGGATTGATCCCGCAGACCACAACGTAGTGGCCTCACTTGGGTGAGCTGTAGTGAGCACTTGGCGTAAGATCACAAACCCGACGGGCTTCTAAACTAATCCTAACTCCCGCAGCTGTAGCATGAAGCGTAAGCTGTCCAAGACGGTCTGAACCCCAAACAACCCCTACTCTTACGCCCGAAACCCAAAAACCCGAAAGCCAATCTAGACAAGCGTAAAACAAGCGAAACCTCAAGCCGCCGCGAACCAAACGCTCGTTGGCGAGCTGCCGTTTGGTTTGTCTTTGAGGCGGTCCCAGAGGTTCAGGTTGATCTTGCCCTTGTAGGGCCCGTACGAAAAAAGGTCCTGCAATCTGGAATCTTGGGGTGTTTGGCTTTTGTTTTCAGCGTTTCGGGCTTTTTAAGGACCGTTCGAACGCTTACCTTGTTTCGTGATGCAAGAATTTCATACGCCTTGTCCCTCGCCCCTGCAGGCGCGACCACGGCTTCCCAAGCCCCGAAAGCCCGAACCCGAGGCCCAAAATCCTCAACCCTACAGCGCAAGCCCAGATATACTAACGAAGAACCAGCACGAAGGACTCGTATGAGTTATCTCCAACAGTCCGTTTCAAAACCCAATCCTTAGGTGGCATAAAGCCAGCAGGGTGTAGTTCCTTAATCACGGTCAGATACCCATTGAAAAAGCTTTAGACAGCATCAACCAAACCCCGACATCTCGTAAACACGCCCGGAAGAAGGAAAAACCGAAAAAAACAAAGTTTGATCTTGTGTAGCTCTGGGACGCATTATCGGTAGGGAATAGTTCCCCTTACGAGCCGGGTGCTGGGCCCTGCACGGTTCTGCTCCCACGCCGGGTCCCAACGGCTCCCAGGCTCCAGGGCCAGCGGCGTTTTGAGTTTTAGGGGCGACTTGGCATTTGTGGGGTTTAAAGTTGCTGTTAAGGTTCTAGGGCTAAGAGCTTTGAAGCTTCCAGGTTTGGAGCTTAGGGGCTTAGGGTTTCTAGGTCTGAAATTCAGTTCACAGCCATCCTGAGCCAATGCAAGACATCCTTTCGGAGGGGTGATCCCCTTGAATACGATTGAAATCGTATTGAAAATGATTTTGAATCGTCGAAAAAAAGCTGGGCGGAACAAGGTAAGCGAACACAGAAGGGAGCAAGGGATCGAACGACAGGACCCAGAATAAAACAGCTGAAGGCAGAGCAAAAAGACAGACAGGTCAGGAAAGGGCTGCAGGCGAAATGGAAAGCCTAAGCCCTGAAGAGGCAGAAAGCCGCGAAGCAGCATGCAGAAACAGTGCCCGTTTCCTTTTCATTGTGCTCGGTCGGCGTGGATGAGTCTCATTGGCGAGGGGCAGGAGGGCTTCTGTGCAACCCAACAACGGCGCTCCCGCCTTTGGGTCTTCTCCGCACATGATGGCGAGCATGTTGCATGTGCATGCTGCTTACACACACCTGCGTATTTTTCAGCATTTATGCCGCATTTGTCAAATAGTCTGCATGCATGCACTCAGCATGCGCTGCTTCGCATATTATGTGTGGCACAGCAGCTTTGGCACTCATGCTTCCGGCAACAGCACATCCACTCGTTGTTATGGCATTATAGCCCCCTTTCTGGCCGGGGGTGATGCCTTCAATTAAAGGCATTGCCCTCCGAGCGAATAATGGGTCGAGGCGCTTTGGCATCCTTGACACCTCACAGTGCCGTGCAAATACAAAAAGGCCGCATGTGAAGATGTTGTCCAAGAAGAGACACGGCATCGCATACTAGATACTACTACATGCGTCTACCTGGCCTGCAGCTGCTGGAGCTCCTTCGCGAGCCGAGCAACTTTCTCCAACTCTTCGATGTGACGAATCAACTTCCTTGCGCCACGAACAGCTTGCCAAGTACGTCGCAACAAGCCGCCGAGACGCGTGTTCTTCTGACACAGAATACAAATCGTTCACGTCACCTAAGATTTCGGAGCCTGTATGGAAAACGCACCATCTCGTTTCCGTCGGCGTTGCTTACCACCTTTTGTCCGGTCGCGGCGCCTGCAACAGCAGCGCTTGTTCTTGGTGCCTTGAAGCCATTGCCCTCCAAACGCATAATCGGTCGAGACGCTTTTGCATTCCTCACGCGTGACACAGAATACAAATCGTTCACGTCACCTAAGATTTCGGAGCCTGTATGGAAAACGCACCATCTCGTTTCCGTCGGCGTTGCTTGCCGCCTTTTGTCCGGTCGTGGCGCCTGCAACAGCAGCGCTTCTTCTTGGTGCCTTGAAGCCATTGCCCTCCAAGCGAATAATCGGTCGAGACGCTTTTGCATCCCTCACGCCTGACACAGAATACAAATCGTTCACGTCACCTAAGATTTCGGAGCCTGTATGGAAATCGCACCATCTCGTTTCCGTCGGCGTTGCCTGCCGCCTTTTGTCCGGTCGTGGCGCCTGCAACAGCAGCGCTTCTTCTTGGTGCCTTGAAGCCATTGCCCTCCAAACGAACACTTGGAGGGTCGGGGGACTTAGTAGGTAGGTAGTAAGTAGACTTACAAGTACCCTAAAAGGGACCCTAGTTGGGGTTATGGTACTTATAAGTCCCGAAAATAACCAGTTACTAAGTCCCCCGACCCTCCAAGTAATCGGTCGAGACGCTTTTGCATCCCTCACGCCTGACACAGAATACAAATCGTTCACGTCACATGAGATTTCGGCGGCTGTGTGGAAAACGCACTGTCTCTCTTTCGTCTGCGCTGCTTGGCGCCTTTTGTCCGCCCATGGCGCCTGCATAAAGCGCCTCTTCTTGGTGCCTTTGCACAAAAAGCGCCACGGCTGCAAAAAATCAATCCTTAGGTCTCGGGGCTTGAAAGTTGGGCAATTGGGATCTGGTGTGCCAGGTATAGCAAACAACCCCAAGCTAAACCCCCCACCCTAGAAGCTGCTACATTATTGATGGGCCTTACTAGCTAGAACAGGACGCTGGGGGCACATTCTAGTTTTTTCATATGGGAACTTCAATCATCTACAGTAGTAATGATAATACTAGATTTGGTAGTTTAGGAATGATACGAATAGTATTCTTCCCGGTAGCTACTTGGGGTACATTCTGATCTCTCTATGTAGGGCCACCAGAATACTCGCTGTAACCTTTCCGACTGTTTTGAAGCCATCTGCGGCGTCCTCGCCCTAACCCTAAACCCTGGACCCCAATCCATAACCCCTGAACCCCAAACCCTGAACCCTCAAGCCCGAAACTCTAAACCTCTAAACCCGTAAACTCCAGAACCCGAACCCCTACAGCCCTAAACCTCCACACCCGTAAACCCTGAACTCCCTACCATAAGGGCCTTAATCATTAGAATAGGGTTAATAAGGAACCCGACCATAATAGTATTTAGGCCCGTATATATATGTATATATATATATATATATTTTTTTTTTTAACTCCTAAACCCCTTCAACCCTAAACCTCCACACCTGTAAACCCCTGAACCCGAAACCCCTAAACCCTAAACCCCTAAACCCTAAACCCCTAAACCCATAAACCTTAAACCCTAAACCCTAAACTTCGACGTCCTCATCCTTAAGGCCGAAGGCCCCGGCGAAGACCTGCAGATCTGCCCTTCTTTGCTCGAAGAGGGGGTTTAAGGCTTAGAGGTTTAGGGATTTGGGAGTTTCCGAAAATTAGGGGTACCTTGTTCTGGGGTCCTTATAATGGGGATCCTACTATTTAGGGTTTAGGGTACTATATTAGGGTCCCCTGTTTTCGGAAACTCCCATTCGGGTTTAGCACTTAAGGCTTTCCTAGACCCTCGAAAGTAAGTAAAATAATGGCCCAACACCTATAAAAATGCGATAATTTTACATACTTTTGGGGTCCAGGTAGAGGTTTAGGGTTTACGGTTCAGCGGTTTAGGGGTTTAGAGGTTTAGAGGTTTAGGGGTTTACGGTTTAGGGTTCAGGATTGGGATTGGGGGTTTAGGGTTGTAGGGCTTAGGGTTTATGATTGGGCGTTTAGAGAATGGGCTTAGGATTGGGGGTTTAGGGTTTAGGGGTTCGGGGGTTTAGGGTGTCTTTCGGTTTGCTGACAGGATGTAGAGGAATGAAAAAGGTACTTCCTCAGGACATCCTGTCCCGAGGCTTGCTTGTCTCGTTGTAAGCCGTCTTCTTCCCATGTGTGAATCCTGAAACTCCTTCAGATTGTGGCATCCGTTGAATAGTGCGCCCGGGAGCGTCCTACGTCCTACTGATTAGGGTCTAGCGACGGAGCCATCCGGACTGAAAAAAGGACCACAATTTTTAGTATTTAGGTTCAGTGCTTAGGCTCCGAGGTCTTTCTCTGCTTTGATCAAATAACGCTTGCCCACAAGGTTGCCAGCGCAGCACGGGCTTTGCTGTCCTCATAACCTGCCTCAGGCATAAATGCAAAGACGAGAACATGAAGAATTTCAAGATGGCGCCGTTGCTGACTGCAGTGCTTCTGTCCGGATTGTTGGGGCACTCGGCTACTCGTAGCCGCCCTTACAACCAGAACAATTTTACTACTCTAATAGACCCCCTTAAGTTTTGTTACAACACAAACAAAACATATTTCCTAAGTGCAGTAAGGGACTATCCATGGGCATCTGTGGACTGAAATTCTTTAGCTGCAAAGTCTCGAAGCCGTGAAGCCCTTCCCTCGCAGTGCGACTGACAGGTGCTGCATGGTGTGCCTGCTTGACGGGGACTGGCTGGACCTGCGAAAGGGTTTAGGGCTTAGGGTTTATGGCTTAGAGGTTCAGGAATTAGGGAACTATTAATATCATTATTATGACTATTCTTCTACTCATTATTATGACTATTGTTAGGATTAGTATTATTATTCTTCGGGTTTAGGGCTTAGGGGTTTAGGGTTTCAGGCTTAGGCTGTTTGGGATCTTAGCCTAGGCTGCTTTGAGATGTGGTTGCTGTGGAAGTGCGCTTCAGACGTCCTCATTCGGGGTTTCAAATTGGGAGTTTCCGAAAATTAGGGGTAACCTTAGGGTTCCAAATGTGGGTCCCCTATTTTCGGAAACTCCCATTTTGGCACAATGCACTTGAAACATGCAACCGGCACATCGCTGATACTGAGGCATATGCATATCATGATATGCTCGGGTTTTGGGAAGATCGCCAAGGATCTCACCTTTGCGATTCTGGATTGGCAAGCGCGCTTCAGCGTGTAAGGTTGGGCCTCATGGTTGTTGCAGTGCTGTGCCGACTGGCATGCCAGGACCCCCACACTCTCCCGCAAAGATTTTTTTGACGCCCTACACCGGAAACCAGCATAGACCCAAGCCTAAGCATAGCTCCGCCTCGAAGCAAGTGATACCCTAACCATTGACTGAAAATGCTGAACCCTGGCCCTACAACTTATAATATGATATTATGTAGTCTAATTAGTTTGCGCAATACTACGTTCTACTCCAGTATACTTGACAGAAAAGACCCCGGCCCGTCTTCGCACTCCGCAGGTAACCTGAACGAACACGCTACACTGTAGCGTGTCCGTTCATTCTAAGACCCCACCGAACCGAAGGTTCCCATGGATTTCTTTCGGTAAATGGCTGTTAAACCCTTGCAAGCCCGGAAAGATTGCAAACCCACGAAACCCGAAACACTCGAACTCCGGAGCTGTACCCTGAACCCTAAACCCTTATCCCCAAACCCAAAACTTGAATCCTGAAACCCTAACCCCCACAAGGCCGAACAGCCTAAACCCAAACTCTCGAAACCCCGCGCCGACTGGGCTACTTTTGGACCCCAAATACAAAGAACCTACTGTATCGGCACTTGCACCCTTAAAGCAGCCCGCTTTTGGGGCCCATTCTACTATAATTACGAGAAGGAACCCCCCAAAAAAGACAAGGTCCACGAACTTAGGCCCCTATACTACACCCTTATAGCACGCTTGTGGTATCGCCTTAGAGGAACCCACTAAAGGAACCCTAGACCCTATAAAAACTGCCCAAACCCTAAACCCTTTATAGAACCCTTATAGACTTATAGACCCCTTTAAGGAACCCTTATAGTATCCCTGGAAGGAACCCTAAAGCCTAAACTGTAAACCCTAATCCCTAAACCGTTTAGAGGAACCCCCTAAGGGAACCCTAAACCCTAAACCCCTAAACCCTAACCGCCAAACCCTCCCTTATAGTATCCCTTGAAGGAACCGAAAAAACCCTAAACCCAGAACGGCACCGACTGGGCGATGTCGATGTCAGAGGGCACAGGCGACTTCGGCTGCACGGGCTTTGCAGTGGGGCAGCCTCAAAGGGGTGCTATCTGTGGGGTTTAGGGTTTAGGGGTTTAGAGGTTTAGGAGGTTAGGGTTGGTTTAAGTTTAGGGTTCAAAAGATACTAGAAGAAGGGTTTCACAGCCGGCACCCCCATAACGCTTCTATACGGCTCGACCCAGATCCTGCAAAGGTGTTACAAAGGCTCCTGAACATCATATCTTGCCAGTCGAACAGCCAGAGTACAACAAAGGGACTGAGAAGTTGCAGTTGTCATTGTGATAATGTAGGCTGATACGGTTTCACTGGGGTTATCAGTATATAGGTGTTTCCGAAAAATTGGGAACACTTCTATAGCACCCTAAAAAGTAGGATCTTCTGATAAGGATCCTAGAATAAGGTACCCGGAATTTTCGGAAACTCCAAAAACCCAATAGCCTCAATCCTTAAGAGTACTGTATGGGCCGGTTTCACTTTAAGGGGTTTACTGTACAGTCTGAGCGTCTGTTTTTGGTCTCTGTGAGTAATGGGTTCGCAGAAGGAAGGACGTCAGGTTGTCTGGGCTTTGCAGTAACAGGCAGAAAAAAGTTAGACTTGCTTGTTCATAATTGGTTCCCTTTAAGTAACAGGTCCCGAAAAATCTTGAAGTAAGGTACTCCAAAGCCCAGCATTATGGTGCTGTCTGTTTGCTGTTAAGGTAACAGGGGCGACGGGGGGCTAAATCATGGGGAGATCGGAACTTCAGGCTGTACCTCACAGGCATGTGCTGTTGCGCTTGTTGTTTTGGCCTGGAGCTGTTGTGATGTCTGCGTGTTTGAAACTCTACTCTATCGGGAATTTTAGATTCCGTGCCTATAGCTTGTGTTCACATGACTATGACTCCTGTAATGTTTGTATTGTGTCCGGCACTATCCCTATGATGAATAAGAACATTGGGAAACTTATTAGTTCGGTATGTAGGGAACGCCTGTTCGGAGATTCCAGCCATTCAAGCCTTCTTACTTCTTACTGTTCTACAAGTCGCTTCATCCCTAACCTTTAACCCGGAAAACTCGTGGTGCCGTAGCTTATCAACCTGTTGCGGTAATATACTGTTGACTCAACATATCTTTCGTGAGGGACCATGTAGAAAGTACACATGTGTGCAACACAAGCTAAAGCCCACGACACAACATCAACAATACCAATGCAGAATATCAACAAAGCAAATGCAGCACCTCACACCGACTTCAACTCAACTCGTTACAAAACCAGATGTAGCTACACGCATGTTGTGCGCGCGTTGGTGGAGTGCCAGGCCTGCTTGCTTCTTGCTCCAGGATTCACCTCAGCATTGCATTTTCTTGGGGTTCGCAGCACCTGGGACGTTTAAGGGCTTCGGGATCACAAGAAGCGTTCAACACAAAAGCAAACCGCGATCTGCATAATCGGGAGTTGCAAGGCGCATCGAGTGAGTATAGAAACAATGCGGAGCTGAAGCAATATTACATGTAGGTAGTTGTCTTAATTAGGGTCCCTTTTTGGGTCCCCTCTATACTGCGGCAATCTTATGAGAAGGACACCACAGGGATCCTAATTTAGAGAAGTACTCATGTTTCGATCCAGCTGCACTGCGTGCCCTGCCGCTGCACAGCCACGGCCGCCGGCAGCGCCGCCGCGGCCAAGGGCTGTGCTATGCGGCGCCACATGGCTTGTTCAGCTTGAAAACAAGTCTAACTCGTCTTCTTCTTGACAGGGTTTTTTGCTGGCCTGGGCGCGGACTAATTACCTCACAACATTGTCAGTCACGGACTCTTTGTCCTTTCGTTTCCTTCCAGCACTCTACGAAATCGTTGTAATTCGAGCTTTGCGGTGGCTTCCTTTTTCGGCTCTGGCCCCCTCGAACTCTTCTTGGACTCCGCTGAAACTCAGACCACGGGCAAGGAATCATAAATGAAGCGTTTGAGTAGCTCGACGCTGCGGAACCAATACCATGACTAAGATGATGATGCGATAGTCACAAAGCCGTGCGTGATGCATAGTAGTCATTAATTCAACTAGGATGTAAGAACCTCGGAACCAGCACATATTCTTAATGCATGGGCAGCATCGTGTTCCCTGTTGCCACCTTCAACAGGGACCACAAAAGTGTGGGCAAGAGCATTCGACGGGCGAATCACTTCGAAGCCTTAATATCTTAAGCCAGTTTCACCCGGAATGACAATTGACATCCTCAGAAGCATGCACACGAAGCGCGAGAAGCTTGAACCTAAGTTGGAGCCACAAGAGTGTCGCTCCAACCCGACATTTCAGCCACAAGTGTGTTTCATGTAGGAAATCCAGCAGGTAATCTCCGAAGTCCACGATTCGCGGTGCTGACGGAAGCGGCCCTATCGAATCAGAGCCCGACATTCAGAGGCAGCATGCTGCTAAAGCTAAGAAAAATTGATTCTGTGCACGCTTGCTGAGGCTCTTGTATTTTACAGTCTGTGGTTGTACCAGTAGCAACCGCAAGACCGAGTTGCTTCCTTCAGATAGTAACCCCTACAGTGCCCCTAAGTAGCCAGTATGGGACCCCTACAGTAGCCATTATAGTACCCCTAGAGTATCCATTATGGGGCCCTTGTAGCAATCCTCAGAAGACCCCTTCCCTATAGTAACCCCCATCATATCACGAACAACAAATGCAGGTGCCTCCTTCCTGGCCTCCTTGGGCAGATTTTGCAGAGGATTTCTCCGGAGCCCAAAGGGCAGCTTCACCTTAAAAAAGCTTTAGGGTTTAGGGGTTCGGAGCTGCACAGGGTTTAGGGTATAGGGTGTAGGGTTTAGGGGTTTGAGGTCTAGGGGTTTAGGGTTCGGAGCTATGTAGGGTTTAGGGTTTGGGAGCCCAAAGGGCAGCTTCACCTAGGGAGGTCCAGGGTGACATATCGGGGTGGCGGTATAGGGCTTTCGAAAGGTTGTGCAGGTGGTACTATAGGGTGACAGGATCTTTGGTAGTTGAAGGTTTCGGGGAATTTAGGGGTTGGATAGGGCTCAGAGGGTTTACGGATTCTATCGGGCAGCTCTACGGTTTGTGAGCCTGTCCGACCTTAATCTTTCACTGTCTTCAAAGTCCATTTCGCTTGTTTCTTCTTATTATAGTCACATGCCGTGATCGTTGTGTTCCTGAACATTGTGAGTCCAAGCATCTATAACACATAGTGCCAGCAATATGGTGAGTACTAGTGCTAGTCCGATTACAGGTACGGCGGTGGTTGCTTGTACTGCCAGCAAGCTTCTTTTGTTCCTGCGCCCAGTATTTTCACCAGCGCAGTTTCAACTGCCCCCTGAACCAGCAACCACTGGATAAGCTTTCTGCGTGCTTAGTATAAGTGCATAGCTTAGAGGTATTGAAACAAACCGAACCGGACAGGAGTCTAAGCTATTGACTGAGTCGGACAAAATCTTACAAGTAAACTTGCCAACAGTCATGCCACACAAGCGTTACGTTACACTTACACTAGGGCTCGTTCCAAGTATTCTGGGTAGCTTGCGGGCCTAGGCAAAGATCTGGTTCGGGTTCTGGCGTAAATCCTGTAGCATCTTTGGGTTAAGGCTGACCACACAACACCAAATCAAACCTTGCTGCAGAAATCCCTGCATTGAGGAAGATCTTCGAGGATGCCTAATCAAGCGGTTTTGCCGTTTATCCTTCTCAACAAAAGCAGGAATCTCCCTCAACCACAAGGGTAAACCAATGCCGGACACGAAGCCCTAAACCGCCTGAACCCTTACGAAACCCCAAACTGCCATGCGCACGCTGCCCAAGCGCGCTGTGGAGTTGCCTCAGGCTGAGGGGAATCTGGTGATCCCCTTACAATAGGGCGGCTTTCTCTTCAATCTTCTATTAAGGTTTAGGGTTTACTTCAACTCCTACAAGAGATCTCCTTCCGAAAAGGGTTCCTCCGCCTCCCAAATGCTGGTGACAAGAGCCACAGTCGAAGTTAGTAAAACTACCTCCTATCTCTACCTCCTACTGGGAAGCAACAAGACCTCGTGAGGGCTTAGTACCACCTCCACCTTTTCTCCTGCTCCCTTTAGAGACTTTAGTCATTTGTAGAAGAAGATAGCTACAAGTTACCAAGTACCCAGCCCCTAGGCCCAATGCAACTCAAACCTGAACCGCAAAGGGCATACTAACCATAAAACTTATCAACCCATGGCAATGACGGCAGCAATAACCCTCAAATCATGGAAACAATAAATCGTAATCACCACCTCGAGAGATCTGTAGTTTCAGAACTCCCAATGCCCAAAACCTCCAGATGCGAGCCAGCCTTCAGCGACCTCATTTGGCGCCGGCTTCTCCTGGCATCTGAAGGCTGCGTCCATGCAAGTTTAAGCCCTTACAGTGCCACCTTACCTTCTTCAACGAGAAGGCAGAACTGGATGCACCAGATCTCCCAGTAACCCCGACAACCTAAGGGGCCCGAACCAATCTGCTTGCTGCCAATCTAGGAACTAGGAACCGTCAAAAGAGCCCTTATAGAACCCTTACAGGAACCTTCACAAGACCCTTCTATCAACCGGTATAGAACCCTTACAGGAACCTTTATAGAACCCTTCCAGGCACCTTTATCAAAGACTCGATAATATTGGACGGCCCTCACAAGGGGAAGAGATTGAGACTTCAGGCTTAAGTATCAATGGCGCATGGGAGGCGACTGCAGGGTCTGCTCAATAAAGTCTTTGTTTCTATTCCACTGTGCCTAAACCAATACAGATACTAGAGTTAGTCTTAGTATTCGCCTTATTCTTATTCCTGCTTTAAATTTCTAAAATAGAAATTTACTGTCAACATTTGTGCGGCTCTTGGGCTACGGCTGGACTGGAGCTTTGGTGTTTCGAGCCCTTGGCGTACCAATGAACAGACCGACAAAGCAAAGAATCCGTCTGCCTTAGTATTATTAGAGTTAGTATTCGTATCAGTATCAGTATAATGGTATTATTCTTCGTATTAGTATCACTTCAGCTACCACTTCCCGTAGCGATCATAACAGTTGAGTGTCGCAAGCTCTTCAGGCCCCACGCCTTCCCAACTGGGTGGTTGTGAAAATTAGGGTCCCTTTTTTGGGTCCTTCTTATGGTACGGCACCTAAGATTTAGGGTACCGAAAAGGGACCATAATCTTGACAACCACCCAACTCTGCAACTCTACTCCCGGTGAAACCGTCAGACCCGCAGCAACGTGTACATCCCGGCTTCGTAGGCACAGCCCACGGGGAAAACCGCGCCGGCAGTTGGCTGGGGCAGCACATTTAAATCGATTTGCAAAAAACTGTGTGCATTCCCTATGGATAATGCAGGATTTTGTCCATCAGCAGTATATTTACCCTCCTAAACCCTTACAGGCCCTTTATGGATCCCTTTAAGAACCCTTTCAGGAAGCCCTTAAAGATTACATTTCCCCTAGAACCCGAAAAAAACTTATCCGCTGCCCCGGACCCTACAGATATATTTCCGAAAATTCGGGATACCTTACTTTGGGGTCCTTATAATAAGGATCCTACTATTTTATTTTCGGAAACTCCCATATACAGACACCCTGCGAGAGGCGAAGAGTTAAAACATCTCAAAACCCTAGTGCCTGGCCTCCTCAATTCAGGTTTAGGCTTTAGCGTTTAGAGCTGAAGGGCTATTTAGCGAGTTTTTTGGGTTTAGGGTTCTGGGTTCGTCTGGGCTTCAACCTTTCATGGGGTAGCCTCTTAGAGAGTCAGCACACCAAGGCGGGAGTCAGCGAATGCGTCGGATGTTGCCGACTTGCAGTCCCACTTGGCCGTGGATCAGCCTGGCAAGAGCCGAAATAATTGGGTAGTTCTCAAAACTAGGGTCCCTTTTTGGGTACCTTAAATATTAGGTGCCGTAGTATAATAAGGACCCGAAAAGAGCCGACATAATTGGAAGAAGGGGCCCAGGGGGCATACAATAGCTAGGATGCCCAGTAACCTAGGAATAAAAAGGGCTCCCTCTTTGGTATTGGGTAACTTTAAAAGGAACCAGGACTTCTAAAAGGGAATAAGGGTACTACTGTCATGCTAGATAGGGGCTTCTTGACTCTTGATAATTAGCATAGGGTTCGGGCGGCGCTTTGTACCATACTTAAGCACGGTATTACCTCTGGCCCTGCTTTCGGATTTAGGGTTGTTTTGGGTCAGGGTTGAGAACTGTTGTGTTCAGTGCCTGGGGTGCTGATACACGGTCATGAACATGTGTCTTTCGATTCTGCAGTCGTTATATACCACTACTCTTGCTGCTACTGAGCTGCTACTGCTTGGGTACTTCTAAACACCAGTAATGTTGAGAACGACAGCCATACGTACAGCCTCACATCCGTCTATGTTCGCCCTCGCAACTTCCGCCAAGACGTTTGGGGTCGGGTCCAAGCTCTGGCCAGCGTGCCACTCTTCAGGGGCTCGTATCCTGATCATTCGATCTCCTCGTAGGATGCGAAGCTTGAAATGCACCGAAACATTGAGCTCAAGACCTGAAAGCACAAGGGCCTAAACCGTAACCTCCATCTCTGAAAAGGCCTCAACCTCAAACAGCAAAGCCTGGAGCCCGAGTTGGCTGGTGCTTGCTAGGGAAGCAGGGATGATTTCTAGGATGCCCAGTAACCTAGGATTAAAAAGGGCTCCCTTTTTGGTATTGGGTAACTGTATAAGGAACCTAG